AAAAAAAAACCGTGAGTACTTTTTGATTAATACCCGGTACCACGAAAGAGTATCTTCAAATCTTATTCGCCAATTTCTGCAAATAATAGTATCACTGGGTATTCCTAGGTACAAGATTATCCGGTATGAAAAATCGCTTATCTACTCATTATTTTCATCTGCTGTAATTATCTAGAATCTTGAATTAAAGGTTTCGTTTCGCGCGATCTCCATCTACGTCCTCCCTGGATGATACAAAATTGCGTTCCATTTAAAAACCTCGCGACCCTGTGCCCGCCCAAATTAACGGCCCAAACATCTGAAACGAAGGTAATTCCCGCTCCAAAAGGGGGAAAGCCCATAAAAAATGGGAAAAAATCCCGGAAATGGAATGAAAGACGAACAGGAGGCCCTGGTGAATCTCCCAGCGGATTTCGCCTCGAAATCTCACCTTAAGGAGAGCATCGGGTCGCGAGGGCGGGGCTGGATGTAACGTCAGCGAGTTAAGGGTCGCCCGTTCACGAGGTTTAGGCGGAGGAAGTTTGTTTACGGGGGCAAATCAGGGGGCAAGTCGATGACAAGTCCTGGGGAAGTGGTTATCGCGCGAGGGGTGAGGGTGCGAGGGCGCGGAGGTCGGCGGCGCCGGGGTCGGGGGTGCGTCGGGGGCGGCGACGACGGAGGGAACATCCACTAATTGGATAATTACGGAGTGCAGCGCGTTTGTTTTATAATTGGGCGAAACGAACGGCACGGCAGCGCCCGCGCGCTCGCTCGGTCGACGTGCCAAACAACGACCGGGCCGAGTCACGCGCTACGTGACGAACCACCCTCGCAGCTAATCCCACCCGAGGCCGAGCGCCCCCGAGCGCCCCCGAATCCCCCCGAGCGCCCCCTAGTCCGCTCGGGGGTGCGGGACCCCCCGCGCTGTCGCGCCCTCCCACCTGCAGCAACCGGCAGCCGACAACCGCCCCGAGAATCGGAATCAATTCCGGAGGCCGACTTCGAGGCGCACCTGCGGCTTCCTGCCTGAAGATTAACCTCCGTGGCTTCTTCGGGTCCATACATATAGCGCGTTAGCTCATGCAACGGTTAGGTACAGGTATGTGTATTGCGTTTACAAGCGACTACGCGTTTTCACGAGCAAAGCGCATTCGCTTGTAAACGTAATATATCCGTGTCATTGCGTGAACTACCCCGCCTTCGAAAACGATGTGAACGGGCCCTAAATGTCTTCATACGAAAGTGAAACCCCCCTCATATCAGACGATTCGAATAAAACACTTTTTTTAGGGGTATTGGATAGAACTGTCCGAAACTTTGACACATGACTCGTGAGCACCTAGAAGTTATCCCGACACTTTTAAAAATTGGATTTTTGAAAAATAAAATGTTTTAACAACCCAGACCAGAATCAGAATAGCGTAGAGAACCCTCATATTTCCATCGGTCTACAATTATTGAAGGCTCTAATATGAGATACGAAAGAGTCAGGACAATTGTACGACAATTTGGAACACTCCAGTAATCGAGAAACTCGCATTTGAACGGGATATAGGCAAAAAAAGTGTCTTATGCGCTTCTATGCTAAAACGATGGGAATATGAGCTCTCGGAGTGAAAATTTAGTTGACATGGAAATCACAGATGGCGGAGGGTGTCCCTCTGCAGTCAATTAGGGCCTCAGAATCCATGAATCCAGATATCTGGAGTTTTACTTCGATTCCTTTATAATTATTGTACGAAAACGACAGATGGAGTATGTCATTTAGTGCAATACTCAAAATGCTTCGATACAGCTGTCAATATAAAAACGAACGTCGGCCACGTAGGTACTTAGAAAAACCTTTTTTACCAACGTCAATCAAGTTCCTCGATGTATTTCACTTTATCTTAAATATTGTAGATACAGCGAGAGTGGACGGAGAGGGGAAAAAAAACTTTTCCATTTTTCCAAAATTATAGAAATAACGAAGTAGTGAAGGGTGTCGACCACCTGGTATCCGGAAAAGGTTAAGGTTACGTAGTTGTCAAAATACATGGTATGGAATTTTGGTGTACAAATGTGTTGTATGTATACCTTCCGGTTTCAGACACTGTAAGGATAACAGGATAGTGTATGAACACTTTGTGACAATATACACAAATGACAGGAAGGAAGGGATGTAACTAAACGAAAGTGTACACCTCTTTATAGGGATGACAGATATTAAGATTGATCTAGGTGACTGGTCAATCCTTAATGTACTATATATAATCAGGGTGAACGGGGAAATCAATTTTCACGATTATCTGACAATGTTGAAATCTTACGATAAATTAAAAAATGAACTTAAGATTGGAAAAAGGTTTTTAGTGTCGCTATGTAAAGGAGTGTAAGATAAATAAGGTTTCTAATTAAAAAAAAGCACTTTTCCTTAGAGAAAAAGTAGCCTGCACTAAACGAAAAATGTTCGTTTTAGACGAAATTAATTGCTTGTGGCGATTTAAACATTTTTTACTGGAAAAAAATGTCGACTCCAGCGAAATTAATTTTCTGCGAATCGTCGACGTTGCAAGTCAAATGATGATAATTTTTTATCAAATGGATGATTTTCATGACAACAATTTCGTGTACAAAGTTGATTCAAGAATGAGTCCACTAATAAGTGACAGAGCTTTGAAAGAAAACGTCAGATTTACTATAAATCTGCCTAATTCTACTCTGGTACAAGAATATTATTAATTCTTACAAAATCTTTTACTGTTTGAAATAAATCAACTTTTCATTCCAAGACATTTATACATAGAAGAACTATTGATAATGAATAATAAAAGTTTTATGAAGCTAAGCTCAAGAAAATTGAATATAATAACAAGGAAAAATCTTTTCATCACGAGAATTCCTTTTTTTAAAGAAAGTACTTTTTTCATTCAGGGTAAAAGGGGCTCTCTTAACCTCGTATTGAAGCTGATAAGTTAAGAAATTGATCACTTTCGACCACGCTCCAATACTTTAATTGGTAATCAAGAAAATTTCTTCCGAATAATCACGGTTTTTTTCCGAAGGCTTGCTCAAAATCGGCAAGAATCGATGAAGGACTTTCACCAAATATTTGCCATCATAAACAACAAGGAGAAAGTGGCGAAAAACGAAAAGCAGGGTTAATAACCCCTTGCAGAAACAATAAATCTCGTTAACAAGAAATCAGAAAAAAAGAGAACTATAAACAAGCTGCCGTAGAGAAAAGGTTTCTTGGAGTTCTCTATTTCTTCTGATTCTAATAGTTCTAACAATTATCCACCTTTATTACAATATTATTGCATCTTGACTACTTGTTACTGCTACTGATTACACCTTGAGAGCCTGGTAAATAATTCGTCTGTGAAAATTATAAAGATATACATAACGGCTGACTGACGTAAACAGAGAAACGGAGTTACTGAACAACATAACTTGGAACGGAAATTCTTTACATTATTTTTGTCCTTCTTTGGTGAAATTGAACTTGTACAAAAAAGTTTCTGATAAAAGCGACTTCCCTTTTCCCATACAATACAATGCCGAAATAAAAAAGTAGGACTCCCATTAAAAAAAAACTAAAGTTGACCCTAAACTGACCTTGAAATTGAACTTTAAATAAATAATGGATATTGCCATTATACTTCCTCCTCAAAATCAAGACACTTTTATTCAACACTTTTCTGTCTAAACAAATTGTTCACCAAGCTGTGTCTCAAGTTGTGTCCCACCCTGCACATGGTGCGATTCGCCATTATTGAACATACAGATTTATGAATTTTACAATGTACTTAATAATTACTAGTGTGAAAATTTAATATTTTGCAAATTGGAGGTTTAATTAAACAAAACATCCGATAGCTACTTTTGTACAATTATCGGTTCAATCATCAATACCCTTCTATTCCCGTTAATTGCAACATGTACATGTACACAAACTAGCCTCAAGAAAAAGGGTTGTTTAAATCTTCGCAAAAGAGGCGCCGGTCACGGCAAACGTAATTCGTCCTCGTAACATGCAGGGTCACGGATGTACAAATGTAAAAACAATTCGACGGAGGGCTGAGGGTGATTACAGAATCCCCGAGGGCGGGAAACAATAAAACTCTCGTGGAGCATGTCAGCCGTGAAGCTCGTGAAGTCGCGGTGCCATGCGTGCGTTTTAATTCTACTTTGGTAATCCCTGGTAAGGGGAGACCTCTCAGAGTCCGGGGCCGAGTTAGAGAACGATTGACTGACTGACTGACTGACTACCCCGTGCTTGTGGGGCCGCGATATCCACCCTTCCCGTACACCCTCGTCCACCCTCGCAAATATGTATGCACAAACACAGGACCTACGCTCGGGACTGCGGCCTGGCCTCTCAAGACCTATCGTTAATCGATAAGCCACCCGTGGGGGGTGTTCGTCGTTATTCATGACCAATGACCGATGACTTATGGGGATTTAAGTTGGATAAGTAGGGGCGAAAGAGAACGGGAATTCGATCCTAGTGGAGTCCAACAAATTCCGTTAAATACTCGTCTATCGCTTAGAAGCAGACAGTAAGATTATTTAAAAGTATGTAAGTGTTTTTCTTTCATAGGATTAGAATTTATGCATGACCAAACAAAGCGCATTACTCAGTCAATATCGATGAGCTACTGATGTATCGACTTATTTACTGAAGATACTGATTAATATTACGTTTGTGAAAAATAAAGTTTCACTTCGTCGTGGAATCAGATATTATTGTAATTGCATCATTAGTACGTGACTAACAATATTCACCGTTATGTTGCATTAACACTGCACATCAATAGTGAATATTTTAATACCAATAGGATAGAATATGATTGATTCAATGAACAGTATATCTAGTGCGGCTATGTTCTTTGTTCGTCAACGTTGCATGTGTTAAAAATGAATTTCTGTAAACCCAGATTTTTAATGTCTTGGTAAGACAAAGCTATGGGAAAAAAAAAAAAACATTTCTAGTATATAAGATGGTACATTATCTTCATGTAAATGTTAAAATGACTTACCGCGATTGGGTTGAAATTGAGGTTGCGGTGGCGGCGGCACCATTCCGTACAGAGGAACAGTTCTGTTAAGATTCGTATGAAACCTGAAGTAGACAATATGAAAAATGTAACTAATGCATGAAGCTATAGCAAAAATTTGGATTTTAATTTGTTGATAGAAACCTACCCTAACATTCGATGCCCAGCATCTCCAATCGAGGCCACTTGATTTGTACGTACAAAACCAACTTGCGGCCTCCATTGGTTATTATTATTCCGGTTCATCTGCTCGAAATCTTGAGGTTTCAGCACTCTCGGCGGTTCCTTGGCGCCCTTCAATTTTTTAGCCGGAAAGATGTAATCGCTACCATAATTAGGATCTCTGAATCTAATACTGAAAAAATAAATATTAAGGTAAGTTCTACGCATGTAAAGGATTGTTTTTACGTTGTTCAATTTCATCAATTGGTACAGATTAATCAAATATTAATCTAGATAATAAGCTCACCAGTACACTTTGTTGTTCCGAACCGGCAGACCATTAATAGGCGAAGGCAATGTTGCACCTTCACCAACACAGTCTTCTGCTAATAATACCGTACCACGCATACCATCCATACAGACTTCAGTTTCTGCAGTCACGCGGCTAGTGTAGAGTTCCTTTACGAAATTATAGTTGCCATTTCCCAGGCCTACATACAATCGATCATCACCACGTATATTTCGCTTCTCTGAAAATAATTAAATGGCCCGGTATAATGACAATAGATTTAAGTTCCTACGAATAGATGTGTATGTAGAATTGTCAACGTATCTACAATTACTTACTTTCAGCATCAGTTAAACATTCGTATAATGGTTCTAATGCCTTAAATAATCTTTTTTCATCAACAAAAGGAAGTAATGCTACTCCTTGCCAAGCAAACTTTTTACCATTGAGATCTATTTTGAAGTCTTCTGGATAAAAGTCTATAATCGGTGAATTCTGAAAAAATAAAGTTATGAAACTGTAGGATATATTTGATTTAAATGTTACGATTGCCGGTAATGCAACGAATAAGAGAAAATGGCAAACATGAGATGTACTAGATTTTAAAAGTAAGTTTTTCGGCAACAGGTCTTCTGTTTGACTGCATTCTAACACTTTATGTATCGGCCCTTTAATGTACTAGATCGTTTTGAAAATTATAAGTTGTTTAGTCAATACTTACGGGGTTAGTCATTAATTTAGCCCAAGGAGCAGGTACATGACTGCTACTAGCTGCTGGAAATACTCCCATAAGTTGTTCCAATGGGCGAAACTGGAAAGAGATACGTAAATGATAAATGAAGAGATATGAAATAAATAGGATCATATGATTTTTAAACATTATTTATATGTTTGTTTATTCGGAATCACTTACTGGTTGCGTTCCTCTTTCGAATTCAGTAGAAAGTCCTCCTATGTTAATAAAATCACTTGCAAATGGAGCATAATGGTATGGAAAATACCATTTCCAGGATGCACAACCCTGGTAGTAGTAACGCAAGACCCAGCAAAGGCCACGTACATATTGCAAAGCAACACTGTTCCTAAACAATAAAATTAAACAAAGTATTAGCAAATGGTCAAAACTTACTATTATGTTACTCCTAATCAATAAAAAAAACTTTCTATCTTTCAATTTGACCTAGTTCTAGCTCCGTAAGTATGGATACATACAAACTCCTTAATCTAATTGGAGTCTTTCTGTTTTTTTGTACGTTTGCACATATTATGATGGATCACAGCATATAGTATTGCAATGTAAAAATCCACACAGATCGCTGACATACATTTTATATGAATCATCGCATATTGTTGGCGGAATAGGTCACTGGGATGGAGCAGAACTTATGGTGCGATACAATGTGCTGTGCTCCATCCTATATGTACTAACCTTTAAAATCTGGTCCACGATGCAAATAATATGCCATTAACTTTAAAAGAATTAATGATCTGTATAATTAGAAAATATAAAACTAACCTAAATTCAAGATTATCCGGTGACACGTCAAATTTAGATTCATAGTAGCGGTCTTTGAAACCATCTTCCCAAAGCCGTACTTCGTCATGCGCCTGATCATCATCGTCTTCTTTCTCTACTTGATCTATTTTTCTTTTCTGCCCACGATTATTTGAACCCTGTTGCAAACAATACAGAGTATTAACTAATAATATGATATTAAAATCAATGAAAGTTTATTACATTGAAAAAATTACACACCTCAGGAACTATCATGGCCTCCAATGCAGCATTTGCATTAGTCCCCTTTAGAGCTCTCTCGGCAGCAGAAGTATTATAATTTCTTCCTTGCACACGCATCTGATAAGCCTCATATCTAGGATTCTGTATTGGTTTCACTGTTTCACCTAGTGGCTTTACACACAATCAGAAATAAATCATAAATACAAACAATACAATAAACTCTCACAATACAAAAAAATAAAATAAATAGAATATAAATAATAGTACATAATACTAACAGTGGGTGCAAATTGTCCAGCTGGAATCCATTTAGGTTTATAGTTACTAACAGCTTCCATTCTTTTCTTCTTGTCCTTTTCACGTTGTTTAAATGCTAATTCATTTTGTTGTCGTTTCTTAAAGATTTCATCTTCAACATTTCCAAGATCTGACATTATCATTTGTACTCTATCCAAATTAACGTCACCACTATCCGTTAAAAAGCCCTAAAATAATTTAGTGTCATAATGAATTGTGAAAATTGTCTTAAAAAGCATGCAGAAATGTAAAAATGTATCAGCAATTACCCCTGTTCTATACACCGTTTTTTTATACAAATTAACAAGTCTGTCGATAGCTCCTTCTCTGATTTCCAAGGATGGTAGATGTGGTAGAAAATCATTTCCTACGAAGAAACACATGAACACCCAATCGTCTATTGCTCTTTCAAAATCATATTTAAAAGGTAAATTGGGCATTTGTAATTCTCGTTCTAAATATTCCCGAAGAACATTTAATCTAACGAATATGTACTGGCATTCGTCTGCAAATGATTCATCTGCCTTTTTCGGATCCGGCTCTGTCCCTGTACAATCTTTTAATTCGTGTCCTAATTGCCCACATATGTCACAAGGTTTTGGTTTGTTTGGCTTAAATTCTTCTCGAATTATAGTAAAGTTAGGTTCGTGTGTAGCCAACCCCAGCATAATTAAATCAGCATCAGCTCCACACAGAACGTGATGAGTATTTGGATCGTGATCTGGATTAGCTGTTAACAATTAATTAACCAATGAATTTAGAATGAATCATAAATGTGTAATAAATTTTATTTAGTTTATAAAATATTACCTCTTTGGCGACGAATGTAATCCATGATTTTATGCTCTCCTTCTCCAGGCACATTTGCGTCACTTAAAATAACTTTTATATCTTTCCAACCTGGGTCATTATTTAAACGGTCATGAATATAATAGTGTAAGCAAGTTGATAATCTTGCCATAAAAGGTGTACCCTAGAACACATTAATACAGAACATTTGAATAATAGTGAAGAAATAATGAGACAAAAACATAAAGTAAATAGAAGGAACATAACACATTGCATATATAATGCAATACATACCGGAGTTATACAGTTGCTATCGAAATGTTCTTCCTTTGCTTTTTCTGGGGGCACATTTGCACCCTTCTGTGATAATTCTTGACGTATTTTTTGCATTTCACTTATTTTCTCAGCAGATTCTTTTGAAGCCCTGAATCGTCTGGATCTTTGCTGGTTCATTTTTGCACGCGGTGCCTATAGGAATATAAATTTATTAAGTGGTAACATTTCTTAAATAAATAATTTATTTATGTTACATTAAAAATACATACAACACCATCGATGGCCATATAAAGCAATTTTCTTGGCCGAACAATCCGAAATAATCGATCGATACATTCAAAAATCGCCTCCATCATTTCCTCTTCATTTTTCGGGGCAGGTCTATATTATAAATACCAAATTTTAAATTATAAGTTCTACAAACCAGACAGGTCATATCTAAATTATACAATTACCTATCTTCAGGATGCGTACAAGGATGAATTATACCATTCATGTCCAGATACAAATTATCAAATTCAACTCCATTAGGATTTGGATCGGCCGAATTGATTGTAACTCGAGTTCCATTACTTGATACAGCCTACAAATTTAAGATATGATATTCCAAATTGATTGCATAATTAATATCTTAAATAATTCTGGGACAAACAACCGTAAGCTTCATTTCAAAATTTTAAAACTGTCATTGAACAACCTAACCTATAAAATTATAAATCACAAAGATGTCGCAAAGACCATACAATACTGCCTGAGCAAAGTAAATCTGCTTAAAAAAAAAAGTATCAGAACCCTAATGTGGCATTAAAACTCAATAATGACGAAATTTAAGATATTACCTTCTGCTCAATGCAATTGACAATAACAGATGGATACTTCCGACTTAACCATCGAAAGAATGCTGGTACACCCATATTTAAGACAGCGTTTTCTTAAATGCGTTATTAAATTATTCCGTTACGAATGGTTTCTTCCAAAATATAACGCTTTTCTGGTACGTTAATGTAATATGTATTTTGGTCCGTACATCTTGAAAGAGCGACGGGATACACGGACGTAAAATAAACACTCATTTACTAAGTCTCCACCATCGGTATTTATTCAATACCGGATTGGATAGATCCGACTTTCGGTGAGTTTCCACATGCTAGTTAGTTCCAGCCAGAGATGAGTTGGGAGATTGCTCACGGGCAGGATCGTGCTATCGCATCCTGTGCTGCTCTCTGGTATCGTACATTAGCTTTCACCGTTTTTTGCCCCCAAGGGCGGCACAACGAATTTCTGATAGGAGCTCGCGCACTCGCGATGGCGGTACCATCTACCAGTCACCGTTGGCGGCTCACGTACTCGTGATGGCAATACCATGCGGCACAGTTGACGGTGATGGCTTACTTACGCTTATCGACACTGCTCGCTTTCGATGGTAAGGGAAGGACACTCGTGGCGCCCTCTTTGACTTTATCCTTCACTTACCTTATTTATTTTATCCGCAAATGATACAGGCAAAATTACAACGTGGGTGCTCGAGAGTTGAATAGTACTTTATATACAATTTTTATAAGCTACGGAAATCAATAAAAAAAGAATGAATGTTTCCTAGGGAACACATAAAACTTAGGTGGAAGGAGATACTCAACACATAGGTTGACGTAGTCGGTAGGACGTTCGGTGTAACGTACGTGTCGCAAGTTCAAATTCTGAAGGAAGGGAAGGGTGGGTACGGCTTTTTACGCAAATTTTGTTCGTCACGTGTTACAGTTCATAGCAATTGCACAAAATACATCGCAGGGCCTCGGAAACCATGAATCCAAGGGATTTCTGGAGTTTTCTCTTCGATTTCATTATAATTATTATACGAAAACGACAGATGGCGTATGCCATGTAGTAAAATACTCAACATAATTCGACACAGATGACAATATAGAAACGAACGACAGCAACGTAGGTATTTAGAACATTTCTTCTACCGACGTCGATTAAGTTCCTCGACGTATTTCACTTCACTTTAAAACGTTAGCACTTATTTACATAATAATGTGTATAAAGTTCCAAACAGAAATAGCATTTATTACTCATTATTTTTTATACCTTTAGACATGGCTGTTTTCGTAACAAGAATTTCGGTTTATTATTAATATTTTGCTGGGTTTTAGAGTACATATAATATGAAAATAGGGAATCGTCGGAGATTAAAGTAGTCCGGAGTTTTATATGCATATATATATATGCAAAAAGCGCTCGATGACACTCTTGACTTAACGATCGACTTCTTAACTACAACGGTGTTAGTACAAGAACACAGGCATTGCCTAACAAACAACTAAAATAAGGTTCCCAACAAAACATGTATATTATTTTCTCAATTCCATATATTTTGCAAACCCATACCTGTCTCAAAGTCAGAATTGGTCTAATACAGAATGCTTCATGCGTTTTCCTTAAACACGAACTGTAATTTATGCGATAAACACGCCCTATCATTTATTAAAAACAGTAAATATCTCATAACAAAGTATTTGCGATACTTTAACGGACGAAAAGGCTTTTTAAAAAATGGTACACAACCAGTGAACATCATTTATTTTAAAGCACTTGCTTGATATCCAGGAAATAAGGAATTTTGCAAATCTACGAATATTCGGAATTTGTTGATTTATTTCATCCATTTAAATGTGTAAAAATTATAGTACATATATTCGCTGTCTTCGTTTACATAACGAATACATCGTGTACGTACTGCAGATAGTATAACTGCTTGTACATAAAACAATGTATTGAAATTGAAAAATTATTAACATAATTTTGTTACATACATTATTTATTATTCTGTAAGGGAAACTATTTGAGTCTCTTTGAAGAAACTGAAGTACGGCTTGAAAATGAAAAACGTTGAGAATGAAATGACTCGAAAATATATCAATGTAACAATATAAAACACAATGTTGAAATGTTGAGGCGCATCGACACTCTTTACCGAGTCGTTGCAAAGGCCCGATGAGTCTTGTATGTATTTTTCAATTACGCGCATACTTCGGTTCATCTAGAGCTCGGCCTGAAGTTGCTCGTTGAAATCACACGTCTGAACGTCATAGTAATTAAAACGTCACGCGATTCGCGAATGTGTCTCATCGGGTTGACTTCCTTCCATTTAACGAGCGCCTGTACAGCCTCTCATTAAATCCCCTTTTGAAGACCCGTCGATCACTAATTCACGAAAACAGAGAATTCCCCCGAACTTTACATGCTTCGATTTTCAAACTGCATTACTGCACTAACATGTACAAACACAATACCGCTATTTGCATTAAATCCCACCCATAATGTAGCAGACACACCCAACATGAGATGGAACGTAACTTTTGACGTTTTCCGATTTACAAATTAATCAGCTTCCGAAAGAGAAACCTGCTCCGAATTGTTTCGTGGTAGATCCATTTGCAATATAATTAAGGTGAAATGAAACATGTCAAGGAAATTGTTCGACGTTGGTAAAAAAAGATTCTTCCGAATACCTACGTTGCCGACGTTCATTTTTATATTGACAGCTGTATCGGATTATATTGGGTATTGTACTAAGTGGCATACTTCACCTGTCGTTTTCGTACAATAATTATAAAGAAATCGAAGTAAAACTCCAGAAATCCTCTGGATTCATGCTTTCTGAGGCCCTAATTGACTCCAAAGGGACCCCCTGCGCCATCTGTGATTTCCATGTCAACTAAATTTTCACTCTTAGACCCTAAATTCCCATAGTTTTAGCGTAGAAGCGCATAAGACACTTTTTTGCCTTTATCCCGTTCAAATGCGAGTGTCTCGATTACCAGAGTGTTTTAAATTTTCGTACAATTGTCCTGACCCTTTCGTTTTTCATATTAGAGTTTTCGATAATTGTATATTGATCGAAATATGAGAGCTCGACGCCATATTGTTTCTGGTCTGGGCTAAGTTAACAAAAATTTGTTTAAAAAATCGGAATTTCGGTAGTGTCAGGATAATTCCTAGATGCTCACGAATCATGTGTCAAACTTTCAGACGGTTCGATTCAATACCCTTAAAAAAAAGTCTTATTCGAGTCGACTGATTTGAGGGGGGTTTTACTTCACTTTAAACCGCCTCATTTTTACGGTACAAAGGCAGGCGTGGACTTTGCGCTATAAAATGAAAAATTGAGATGCATATGCGCTTTTATACAAACCAAATTCGTTTACCAGGTTATTAATTAAACGTTTATGAAATTCAACTTTGTTACACTCTGAGTAAGAGGCTGCCGAAGAGCTCCGATGTCGACGGAAAACCCGAAGTTTGATCGGAAGCTGCGACCAGTGCTTTGGAACGCGCCGCTTTAGGATCGGCGTCGCGACGCCCCCCTGCGAACTCGGCATCTTCCGTTCGCTTGTATTAGACTTAAGTGTATGACGAACAAGTAACTACAATATTTCTTTCAAGCGTGTGCGTTCCTTGAACGGAACAAAAGTGGAGGGGAAGAATTGAGCTCCGGTTGAACCCGATGAATTGATTGTTTTCTATGCACTTGCATTGTGTGCATCCCGTGTGAAATTAATAAGGGATTTCTAAATCAATTTCTTTTCGGCGGCTGAATGCGACGATTATCTTTTTCGTTTTTATTATCATCATTTTCTACCTCTACTGTTTTAAAGAATACTCGTCACGGATGTTATGCGCGATAAAATATATTTATCAAATATAATTCCTTCGTTGTCGTTTAAATCTTCCCTGTTTTTTATGCAAGGGTATAAGTCAATAATCCTCCAAGACATTCTTAAGATGATATGAATGAGTCAGCCTATGTATATATATCTCTGAGAAGTCAAATCGTTGATGAAAGTATTCTCCGAATGAGGGGTACTTGATATGATGTTTGTCCATATCGTACGCAATCATAATCAATTGTCAAGCCTTGGCGCCTCGGAAACCGTAGTATCCCCACGAAAAGGGTATAGATGAATTTTAATTTATCGACCTCGATTAAATTTCTCAGCGCCTTTCATATCATCTTAATATCGCGCGTATTCCACGGTAGGTATCGCATTGCAACACTCGTTATATACTTGTATACACGATTCGCTCGGCGATCTCGGTGGTGGACGGATGTCCGTCATCGTCGGGAGTTTTCAGTACCAACTATGCAATTAAGCGAAATTCCGATTAAAGAAAGATATAACACGACAAAACACTGAAACAGTGAAAAAACAGAGGGGTCAATCACGTTTCAAAATATAATACAATAAAACAAATGAAATCGTGGTTAAGGCAAGGCCTGAAACCAACCAAAGAGAACTAACTACTTGTATACACCAAGTATACTCGCTCGTCACTCTTGTTGAAGAGTTTCACCTCCGAAGCTCCAACCGAGCTTTCATTTGATCTATATTACATGTACCTCATATCACAGTTCTTTGCAAAAAAGCATCCTTTTTTTCACAATGAGCACAGCCATGATAGAGGCCCTATACTAGCACGTTTTACGTCAACTTTGATTCTCTACGTACCTTTGAATTCGTCACGAGTACAACCCAGGAATTCCTCCTAAAGAATGGAATTCCTCCGTCTATCTGCAATCGCATTGTTTCTCGTATTCCGTATTTTCCTATTTTAATCCTAGCGTAATCCAGCCAAATTAAGTTTCTCAATAGATGTTTTCTTTTTAAATTGTATAATTGTTTAGATGATCGTGCCGCCAGAAAGAGTACCTCGATACAACTACAAGGAATAGGTCGAAGAATTACGACTTAGACTTGATATTTTCAAAGTTCATCCTCCGAGACGTTATTGAATCAAAATTGACCCAGTTGCAGAATTCTTTCCTTTTAATTCGATTAGGTGCGGTTTTATTGCCACAGTGAGTAAACTTGTACTTATACGTACGCGTCTGCCCGCTTAAATAAATTTAAAAATCATCTCGTAGGCCATGTTTCTTGATCACGTGCTCTATAAACCGTGTGTCCTATGTATCAAAAGCCTTGTATTTATACGTACGCGTGTGCCCGCTTACATAAACTTAAAAATCATCTTGTAGGCCATGTTTTTTGACCACGTGCTCTATAAACCGCGTGTCCTATGTATCAAAAGCCGACGCAATATTTATTGAATCTTGTTCGTCATTCACTTCCTAAAACCCAGACGTGATCTGTGTCGTTCCAGATGTTTCACAGGCCACGTGTTTTTCGTCTCACATGCCGGATACGTAAAACAGTCCGGGAAAAATGATTCGCCAATCGGTATTTCACGGAATACTTCACAAAGGGATGACCGCCCTTCGTGGGAATCGCTCGGATAACGAGTACACTAAATCTACGCAATATCGATCCAAAGCCGTTTATTCGACACCGTCACGTGACGAGAAACCGACAAATATAACGCCCGTTAAACGAACGTGGAGAATAAGCGCCTCTTGAAAGCCCCGCGGGATATATGTTCTTTTAGTACATATGCTTTTTGAATAGCGCGCCGCGTGTATAAAAATCCACGCAACGTTTGTTGAATCTTATTCGTTCGTCTTTGCTTAAAACTGAAACATGGCTTTTTCATGCTCAATGGTCGAGGTAAAAGCGCTGTTTCAGTCATTCCACTGGCCATGTGCTTTTTATCTAACTTATATACATACGGACTACGTATCATCTACGAATGCGTCAGACAAAGATTATTTGTTACCGGTATTTCACGAAATACTAAACGGAGTTGCTGCTCATTATGCAAGTCGGTTGTTATTGAAAATATTCTGAGATAGGTGTAATATTCAAGTGAATTTCGCTAACCCCTAGAAAACCTTTGATTTTTGGTCAACAAAATTCTTTATCAACAATCCAATACAATTCCACCGCTCTCTGAAACATGGCGATTCGTCAAGCCAGTAACTCAATGAGACAGATACGTTTTATAAATAAATCATGTCGTGGACAAAAATTACACGCAAAATTTGTTTAACTGTAAAGAAATCTTGCGTCCTCTAAAAGGCGCTTTGTATGAACACAACGGTATCGCAATATTCGAATTACGAATAAGTACTATAAGTACTTGGGAGGGTAATCACACAGGAAATCATGGATTTTCATGCTCGAAATCTGTGGAAATCAGCTACAAATCGCAAGGAGAAATCATCGAATACTGTCACAATTTTAAAGCCGAATGTCACTTGCTACCGAATCGCATTTATCGCATGAAATCAAAGGCAAACGGCTCTTAAGGTGATATGAGACAGCCTATACATATATGAGGTCAAATCGTTGATGAAAGTATTCTTCGAAGTGAGTGCACCGATTCGTTTCAAATTTTACCACGGGACTATGGAAGCCCTAAAGTAGGTCCTGAAACTCATGATATTTCATTCTTCACCAACAATTTATTTACTTATTATGGACTAGAACCAACATGGCGTGATCCGTACACGTTTTCGATGTTTTACGCTTCTTGGAGGCTTAGAATCTGAAATGAAGAGTTTCGGGACTAAGCTCGAAAAATGTAGGATACCGTAGAAATGGAATGTTACAGTCAGATGGGAAAATACGGAAAATACTGTTACCAACGATTGCAAAACTGCGTGTCCCGGGGCTAACACGTGTCTTTAGAGCAAAAATTTAGTCGCAGCTAAACATCACAGATGGCGACGTTAGTCCTAAACAGTCGTTAGAATAATGAATTCATGGGATATCGACAGTTTTACAGTTTTTTAAATTTTATTTTATAATCTAGATATAATCATACGTTAAAAAATATGGGGGGAGGAGGGCAATTCCCATTCCACTGACCCCGCCATCCAACACCCTTAAAGAAAAGTGATTTATTTGAATTAACTAATTAGACGGGGTTTCACCTCACCTTAAGATCTAGACATAATCATCCGTTAAAGAAACATGGGGGGGAGGCAATTCCCGTTCCACTGACCCCGCCATCCAACACCCTTAAAAAAAGTGTTTTATTTGAATCGACTAATTTGAGGGGGTTTCATCTCACCTTAAGATCTAGACATAATCATCCGTTAAAGAAACATGGAGGGGAAACCCGTTCCAGTGACCCCGCGCGCCATGTGCTCTTTTGGCGCATGTGCTCTCCGAATCGCGCGTCGCGTCGAATCGCGTCCTGTGCCTACTCTTTTTAGAATGAGGCGCGTCGCGACGCCCGTCGCAGTCAAAACGCCGCGCGATCCGCGGAAGCGTCTCTCGGTTCCTTCCCTTTAACGAGCGGCTGTCTCGTCGCGCTTAATTACTTGTCACTCCTAACAAGTCTTGCGATATACACGAGTCCGCGCGGCCTCGCAAAGAAGCCGCCACGAAGCCTGCCGAAAGTCTTCGCTAAAGATTCCGAAACAACGCGCCGTAAAACCTCCCCAAAAATTGCGGATCGTTTAATATCCGCGCTTTTGTGTTTCCGTTATTCGAGAACGTTACTCAAGTGTTGCGGCGGTTTTCGATGTAAGTTGACGGCCATTCGCGCAGCTCTTATCATTCAAAATCGACTCGAATCCGTTCTGAGGGATTGCTAATTTTTTATAAACTGATAAATTAAAGCACATCTTCTGTGCGGAAGAAATGGATATTTACACGCACCAATATTTATTTCAGATGATTTTTAGACGAATTTTACCCAAAACTGACGACCGGCATTTTTGTCAGGCGTCAATTAGAGAGAACTTTTGTTTCGTTAACCGCCGAAATTCTGGGAATATTAATTAACTGAGGGGGTATTTGGAATTGTTTGGACAATTTTTGAGATAGTTTCGTTCCATGTGGTAAGCGGATGATTGATTAATTGTTGTGAAACCTGTCAAGTACTTGCAAAAACGTCTTCGTTACATTTCGTATAAATTATTCCAAATGAAAGTCCGTGTATGCACGTTAGTAATTTACGAATTTTTATTTTAAAATCTTAATTGATACAATTTTCACTGTGACGTTGACCACGCGAAAATTGTGCTGATCGCTTTATTACAAAGTACAGGGAAAAATGGAGATGAAACTTAAAGTGAAAGTTCGTAATATTCGATTTCCGGCGATGAACGAATTTTAATTGTAAGACTTACCCTCGAGTTATGATCGTGACTTACATTTTTGATATGTAGGTCTAGACAGTGACAGAATAGGTCAAGTCCGCTGCACGAAAACGAGGTTCTTTCAGTAGATGCATATTTGCAGAAAAGCCAAGGTTATAGCTCCTAGTTTTGCTCTACCTCCTCGAACCGAAGATCTTTTTCCATTAAAAAATACGACTTCATTAATGAGGCGACATTTTCACGGAATTTCAATATTAATATTATTATGAAAGTAGTCCAAACGAATCAGGACTAATTAAATATTTTAAAAAGAAAGTGCGCCACTTAAAGAGTAAAGAAATACATAAAACTAAGTAATATAAGATCGATAAAAAGTAAAATGAAGCGACGAAACTCGGAAAGAAGTACACTCGATGCGCGCGAATAGACCATCATGAATGAGTTTCCGTTTTCGGACAAGAAAATCTTAGGAATTCAGATTATTCCGGGCCAGATTAAATGTGAACATTTCTTGTCTCGATATTTCTAATTGCGTAACGCAGCTTTTATAATTTCGGAGTTTTCTCAAAGGTTCCTTAATTTGTTTAATTTTTCACTTTATCCGAGGCGCTTCATCTTCTTGTGATATCGTTGACTTTGGTAAGTCCTTTATAAAATGAATTATTTTCTTTTATAGTTGCATGAACAAAGCAAGGAGAACATTCACTGACTGATTCTAAATAATGAAATTGTTACCGGTAAGAAAGCGCGAGGAGAATAAAAAAATTGAAATTACCGAGCCAGAAAATAAAATAGAAGACTCGTTAAAAAAAATATAATTCGGTAATATAGAATTAAAATACCTGGTATAATATTAATCGTTCCTTGCGTCATTTCCGTAAAGGTAAAGCTCAAGGTTGTGGTCTAAAAAAATCGTTTAGCACCGTCATTTATTGCAAAAGATTAAATCCGTACCGAAATATCTGAAGAATTCAGTTGATTTCGAAAACCTATCTGTCCCTACGTCTCTAGAATTAGCTACCGAGTTCCAAAATGGAGATGTCAACTTAAACGACTGTTTAAATTCCCTCTTTCTTCACAGGGAACTGTCCATCTCGAGGACGAATGACAAGAAAAATGGTCCCCTCGATATAAATATCGCAACGATCGGTCTCTTTCATCCAAAATCGTTTGTGGTGGAGTATACAAGATGTGTAAAATACGTATGTTGCAATACGTTCACACAACACATAGTACGTTCCTCCAGATCTCTTGGAAGAGCACATTTCTGCCTGAAAAGAATAAATTCATGATTCTGCATTGAATGTACTCACTGAGCAGTGAAAATCCTGAATTTCCCGAGGAAGATCAAACCTGTGCTTTTCATGAGTCTTTTCAAGTGACATGAAACGTATCGCGAGCGGCCCGAAAAGTTTGGGAAAATATATATACGTGTATATATATTACGTATATATATCCCTTGAAAATAGCGCGCTCGAAGGATCAGCCTTTTGGCGATCGCGGCGTTATTGTCCTCCTGATGGGCTCGAGACAAAGATGACGGTCTTTTTTGGAAAATAAGTGACCTAAATACCGACCGATTTACCAAGCGCGTAAGACCGTTTAAAAGTTAAAACGAATATCGGCCCAAGTTGGCCTCTAGTTCGCTGGAACCAAGATAGGACGTGGCAGTATATTAATTTAACCAAAGTCGAGGGAAGGGAAGATGATAGTACTCGGAGGTGTTCTTTGTCCGAGAGATGGTCTTATCGGACGTTGCACACTAAACTTAATTACGTGCACCACAGATTGTGCACAGCAAGATTATTACATGTCGCCAAGAATATTAGTGCAAAACCCTGGACCCTTGATTATTCGGGGTATTGACCGAGAATAGATGCTCAGCAATTAAAATCACGGATAATGTAAAAACGATCGCAATGCGCTCATACTTGTTCAAATTTGTCCCTCACACCTTAAATAAATATCGATTCAAATATATCATACCGGGTTCTTGATGTACGCCTGTACTGATGGAAGTAACGTCTTCATTGATTATAATATATTGGGATATTCGGACATTTCCTTATCCATGGTGATACGAAACTCTAATTCTCGTTATCTAGTGTACAAATTAATAAAGGGTTCAAGCAATGTGTTAATAATCAACGTTACTTCGGCTAATGTCCGTACAAGGAAAGGTGATAACATAGAGGCACCCTTCCCCATAAATCACGTCATCAGTTCAGCTTCAAAGTTAATTACCTGTGCTACACCCTGGAACATTTAGACACAAATAATGCAATTCATATTATTTTTCCCTCGATGGGTTTTATATCCAAAATATATTCCTTTTTTGATCCCACAGGGGCTATCGATTGAATCGAATGAAATTCACCAATAAGATCAATTCGATTATTGACCATGCGAGAGACGAAATGACTTCAAACGTGAGTGATCGTGTTTTTCTTTCAGTTTTTTTTCAAATCCGTTCAAAATACAGCCTTTGATGGATTGTCAATAACTTTAATCCTGGAGATTTCCGTTTTTGTTTGTCCGTTAATATTATTGCCGCGTAATTTCGTTCCAATTATGCATTAATTAAATTCCCTTTTATACGAGCCAGCTCTCGCTTTGCGAAAGGCTCTTCGTTTGTTCCTCCGAGACCAAATATTTATGATAAAATATGACACTAAATAAATCTTCCTCTATCCTGGAATAATAAATTATATCACGTTTTTATGTATTATGCAATAACATTATTTCGATCGTGAACAGAATGTAATATATCGGGTCACTCTATTAATTCCATTACACGTAAGTCGCCTTACGGTAACGTAATCGTAAATGGAGGCTGGACCTTAGTAAAAGCTTATACCATTGCGAATAATTGTAACATAATGTAATACTGATCAATTTAGCACCAAAGTATAAACTTATATTAGCTGAAGAAAAGTCATTTGAAAGAAACGTGATGGGAAGGAAGTGCACTTTAAGGGATGGGCTTATCGTCCATTGCACGTTAAAGTTAATTACGTGTACTACAGATTGAAACGTCTGGACGCAAGTGTTACAGGTCGTAAGGGTTGCTCGTAAAGCTCTTCGTTTAATGAATTGCACGATCGGCAATTGCTCCTGCCAGGGCTGTTCTCGCCGCCATTTTGTCAACAAACGTCTGACGCGGTCTGGGTCAGAAGTTTATTGACAATTCATTTCATTATCAATGGTCGACTTTTACCTTCACTTAGCTGCACTGCCAATGCGAAAGGCAAATTAAGAATCTCTTATAACGATACGGTAAATAACTACATTAACACATTGAAGCCCGAAAATCATCCATTTTCCTCGTAATTTTCAGGAATTTATTCCTATTTGCTGTATCTATCATTTTACAATTTACGCGCTGAAAGATATTCATTAATACCGGCATATGACATTTTTTTTACCAAATGCATCGCTTTGTTTTTTTTTCAATTTACTGTAGTCATTATAATGGTTTATTGTAATTGCTTGGGACGATGTACCTCTTGTGCTACGTAGGTTCAAGTCACTATAGTAATTCTCCTCGTGATTTTTCTCGTAATTTTTAGGAGTTTATTCCTATTTGCTGTATCTATCATTTTACCATTTACGCGCTGAAAGGTATTCATTAATACCTGCATATGACATCCTTTTACCAAATGCACCACCTTATTATTTCATTCAACTTACTACAGTCATTATAATGGTTTATTGTAATTGCTTGGTACGATGTGCTTCTACGTAGCACATTTTTTAGAATCAGGATTGACTGAAGTCACTATAGTAATTCTCCTTGTGATTGGTGGTAAGCTTTGATTATGGTGATGATACAGATGGTAGGTTTCATGTAACCCTTACGATCGTCAATGAATGACGGAGCAAAGATGCGGTAGGAATTCTATTTGCTTTCATTGAGCTCGTTTAAATAAATCTCACTTTGCATGTATCATGCCTTGACAGTCTTACGTTAGCGGGCACTCTAAGAATTATCCCTATGAATAGCATGACACGAGAACGAGTACATCCTGGCATTTGCGATAAACTCATTGGCAATTTCCGCGAAATCCTTCGGTCAAAAATTCAAGTAAACCACGATAACTTGCAGAAATTTGGTCAAGTGATTCAGAGACGATAACTAATACCACTAATTAATACCAGAATTGAACTACATAATTACGACGAACTCGAATAAACTTCATTTGCTTCAAACGAATTTTCTTTATCCTCCCAGGAAGATCAAATAAAATGGCATTTATCTAATTAATGATATTTGAATTCGAAATATAAATGACTTCATCGGTCCCTGTCAACCACTTTCACAGCATTACTTGTGCCTAATTAAAAATCATCATTTATGTCACAAAAGCTCATTGTAACTGTTCTGGCAGCCTTATCGCCAAGTATCTTGAATTTTAAGTTAATTCTGGTTAACTCGAGTCAACGTCTCACGGGGGTCATGAAACGAGAACGAAATGGTAGAAACGAGTAATCAGCAAAGGTCTCGCTTCTCTCATTTTTATCGATTACAATATTTTTAATGCATAAAGTGCATCGAAATATCCGCAAACTGGAAGGCATCGATTCTTCCGGCATTTCATGCACATCCGAGTACAAATCTATTCGAGCGTTATCGCGGTTGTTTCCCGGCACAGAACGAGGACGAATCCCAAATCGTCCGACTATCGGGTCGAAATATGTTAATTTATTACCGACATTTAATATTAACCTCGAATGCGAGGAACGATCGTGGCAATTTCGTAGACGTGTGGTCCTTCGTGAGAGCGCGTTAAGGTGATAAGATATATATATCTGAGAGGTCTAATCGTTGGGGAAAGTGTTCTCTGAATTGGAGGTACCGATTCGTTTCAACTTTCACCACGGAATATGGAAGCCCTAAAGTAGGCCCTGAAACTCATGCAATTTAATTTTTCATACAAAATTTGTTTATTTATCACGAACTAGAACCAACATGGCGTGGTCTGTGTACGTTTTCGATGTTTTACGCTCCTTTAAGGCGTAGAATTGAAAACGAAGAGTTCCAGGACTTAGCTCGAACAATTTAGAATACCATAGAAATGGAATATAACAGAGACAGGTGGGATAATATGGAAAATACTATCACTAACGATTGCAACAGAACGCTGGCTTGTCTCGGGGCTAACACGTGTCTTTAGAGCAAAAATTTAGTTGCAGCTAAACGTCACAGATGGCGACGTTGGTCCTAAACAGTAATTAGAATACGGAATTCGCGGGATTTCGACAGTTTTACATCGATCTCTTCATCATTACTTTACCGAAATGACATATAGAACGCTTCAGTTATTACAATTCTCAACGTAGACTGTAAAAAACTTGAACATAAATATAAATGTCGGGAAAGTGTCGCGCCAGCTTTGTTATCACTTGAGTACTCAAAAAGACATTACCACCGAAAAGGGTATAGATGAATTTTATTTCATCGACCTCGATTAAATTTCTCAGCGCCTTTTTCATCATCTTAATATTAACGCTGCATGCGAGGAACGAATTTCGTAGACGTGTGAGCACTCGTGGGAGCGCGTTAACTGGGACGAATCGAGAGGAATGAGTAATTAGCGCCGAGGAGGATTCCGCTCCTCCTTCCTCGTATTTTCCCATGAGTAGTCGAGCTTCGTTCTGTTCAGGAATCGCCATAAAATGCGATATCGTGGCTACTCGACTCGGCACACCGAATCCGGATAAAAAGCGCGCGTCTCCGCACTCGCGGAGGACGGAAACGGCAAGTTTTAACAAAGGGCTTGTTCGCCGAACAATCTGGCGAACACCGAGTGCCAATTTGCATCGGAGACAACGGCCGCATCCAAGAGACACTTTTTACAGGCGTCGCATTGGAGGAGTTCGACCTCGCGAGATCGAGGTGTGCCATTATCGCGATCCCGATTGTGACGGCACTAATGACGTTACCAAGACACTTCCGAGGGCCCAATGAGATCCGGGGCGGGTTGATAATATTCGCTGATTATGGTCGCCATACCCGAAGGTGGTTTCCGGTCGCCTGAGAACTGTTTTACGGTCTGCAAAATTACCCTGTCAGACCGAAACTGTTTCAACTCTATACAGCTCGAATGTTCTTCTGGCGTCTATTTGCCCGTTAACTCTGGAATTATTCTACAATGTTCAAGATGATATGAATGGCGCTGAGAAATATAATCGTCGTCAATAAAATGAAATTCATCTATACTCTTTTTGGTGGTAATGCAAAGAAGGCAAGTTTAGAACATCCTCGCAACGGGTAAAACCTTACTATAATATATGGTTACAGTTCCCAGATAAAGCTTCCACTTTCCTGTGCATATTGTAACATCTTCATGTAGTTAATATTATCATTCCAAATGGTGATCACTCCTACACCTTTTAAGCGAAGCGCGATGGATACAGTACGTATTCGCAAGGTTACATTTACCATTCCATGTGGTCAATTTCACCATTTGTGTGGTTTTACTTTCCACAGTATTTTAACCATGTCTCCAGGGTTGGGTAATTCCCCATTTTCGAGGTTTTTGACGTATATTACGTAACGAAGTAGTTTACCGGAGAAAATCGTAGAAAAACAGTAAACTACGTTTCCAATGTGAAGAATGCCGCAGATGGACGACATACGGCTTCTACTAGATTATAAACGTCTTTCAGCACACATGTAAACACAGAAATATTTTAACGAACAATGAATTAATGTAGCGCTTGTATTCAAAATTGTTTAGAATTTTACGTTTTCAATGTGGCAGATTCGACAGATGCACGATATATGTATCGCGAGGTTAACGTCTTTTAACGCACATATGAACACGTAAAAATTGTTAAGATATAGCTAACCTGGCGTTTGCGTTCAAATTCTTTTAACTTAACTCCTATGCAATATCAAATTTCTAATTGAATTTGTTATTTTCTATTTGAAAAGAGAAAGGCGTAATGTACTTTGCACTCGCGTAGAAAACTAGGGATGTATTTTACGTTGTAATACGCACGTAGAAAACCACGTATATTACATGAGGTATTATACTTACCCAGCCCTGCATGTCCCTTTATAGTAATTGTAACCAAATTATTTTTTTTCCGTGCAAGATGGACGAATTGCTGGTGAATTCGAAGGTGGGGAACATTCCTGTGGACTCTTCGAGGTGATGCAGCCTAGTTCTAGGTGTTCCGAACTGTAGTGGGTGAGAACAGTTGTTCATCTTAAAGAACCGAGTGATTAGCTATGTGCTGGTTTACGGGATCGCAAAGTGGCCTGTCATTACGACCGTAATGATGACGTTCGGGGGTGGTGCTCACGATATTGCAGAAAACCCCGCGAGGACACGATGAGACGCGATGGCAGTGAAATGATCCATCTCGTCTTGATCTTCTCTTTGATTAGCGTCGCGATCAGTGCAGATCCCTCCGTGCGCATTAGGGGTGATCTTGTAATAGGTGCGCTCTTCAGCGTCCATCATACACCTCGTGGGGGACAAGGCGCCCTCGTATGTGGCCAAATTAGAGAAGTCTATGGAATTCAACGTGTCGAAACGGCCCTCTTCACTCTCGACAAAATCAACAGGGACGACAATATTCTGCCAGGTGAGGACCCTCAATTTTAAAGCTCCTCTATGGACGATAAATTAAAAAAATTATAAAAAAGGTTGAAAGGGTCTACGTTTTATTCTTCTATTTTCTTCTCACTTTTTCGTAGATCCTGTAAGATTTCAGCCACTTAAGGTGATATGAAAGTGTCGTGTATATATACCAAAACATCAAAAATTGTTATAAAACTTATCTCCAAACAGGGTGCACTGAATAATTTAAAACTTCGGCCCAGATCAGAACCAAAATGGCATCGAGCTCTCATATTTCGATTAATATGCAATTATCGAAGGCTCTGATATGAGAAACGAAAGGGTCAAGACAATTTTACGACAATTTAGAACTCTCTGGTAATCGATAAACTCGTATTTGAACGGGATAAAGGCAAAGAAAGTGTTTTATGCGCTTCTATGCCAAAGCGATGGGAATACGAGGTCTCGGAGTGAAAATATAATTGACCTGAAAATCGCAGATGGCGCAGGGGGTCCCTCTGCAGTCAATTAGGGCCCCAGAAAGCATGAATTCAAAGGATTTTTGGAGTTTTACTTCGAGTCCTTTATAATTATTGTACGACAGGTGGAGTATGCCATTTAGTGCAATATCCAATATAATTCGACACAGCTGTCAATATAAAAACGAACATCGGTTATGTAGGTATTTAGAAAAATTTTCTTTACCGACGTCGACCAAATTCCTTGACGTGTTTCACTTCACCTTAATACTTCTGCTTTTAAAATATTTCTTTCATTGCCTTATAAATGTATTATCTCTCCCTCTTCAAATTTAACACACTCGCCCACTCCAAAATGTCGAGACAGGTATTCTCTTAATTGCTGCTCGAAAAAGGAATTGGATTGAAATTGATTGATTCTCTTGTCTAAATGGAATCACCTGGGGTGAACCTCATCGCTCCCATCATTTCTGAATTCCAATTTCAGCGAAGATAAAGTACGTTCAAACTATACTTCCGACATATCGTTTAAATAAATTCAATTGCCTGATGGCCTGGAATATTCATTGTACAAGTAACGCGAAGAAAGGCGTGCTAATGTACAAGGAAATGTTCTAACGAAAGCAAGAGGTCTGCTCTTGTTATTCCGGGAAAAAAAGGTAAGTAAAAAGATGATTAGCCATTTTGCCGTTTCCTTCTGTACTACGATTCGTCTCTTGTAATGAAATAAGGATCTCCTTGAAACATTAATGCTAACGACTCAAAAGGAGCGGATATTCGTTCGGAGGAATACAGAAGTGCCCCTTGATTAGTCAAATACCAAGGTGGACGGAATCACAATAAACGGAACACCGAGCGTTTAAACGATCATCTGGAACGAGCTTGTCTGGAAGAGAACCACGAATCGCTATGCTAAGCGGAATTTCTCATGCCGATATATCGTTTATTATTGCATACGCAAAAGCTGGAAGAGTGATGACTTTCCCTGTCTGACGAAACGTGTTTACGCTCCTGCAGTTTTAGCGCTTTGCCCAGGGTATCTGTTTAGAGTACGTTTCTGGAAAAACTCCCCCAAAAAAATATCGCAATCTGTTCCGAATTCTTCACACGTGTTACAACGAATAAACAAGACTTTTTAAAGTCTCAGTCAACGACCGACGATTATTCGACTCTAGCATTTAAGGTGAAGTGAAATTCCCCTCAAATCAGTCGATTCGAATAAAAGACTTTTTTTTAAGAGTATTCGATAGATCTGTCTGAAACTGTGACACGTTACTCGTGAGCACCCAGGAAATATCCTGAAACTTTCAAAATTTGGATTTTTTATCTAACTTTGTTAAATTAACCCAGGCCAGAATCAAAATGACGTCGAGCTGTCATACTTTGATCCATATGCAATTATTGAGGTATCAGGACAATTATACAAGGGTTTAAAACACTCTAATAATCGAGAAACTCACATTTGAATGGGATAAAGGAAAAACGATGGCAATCTCGGAGTGAAAATTTAATTGGCCTGAAAATCGCAGATGGCGCAGGGGATCCCTCTGCAGTCAAGTAGGGTCTCAGAAAGCATGAATTCAGAGGATTTCTGGAGTTTTACTTGGAGTCCTTTATAATTATGGTACGAAAACAACAGATGGAATATACCATTTAGTACAATACCCAATATAATTCAACATAGCTATCAATATATAAACGAATGTCGGCAACATAGGTATTTAGGAAAATCTTTATTGACTTCGATCGAGTTCCTCGACGTGTGTCACTTCACCTTAGTTTTCATATTTTCGAGTTCTCCGTCTAAAAACTAGTGCGACAAACCCTGGAGATAATAATTTATCCTCATTCATTGACGATTTAAAATTATTTCTTACACTTGGTTTATGTTTTAACGACGGCAAAATCTTCTAAGCGATGGAGCAAAATTTTATTGTCATGTAATCATTTGTATTGCAACGTTTTATAAGAACTGCTAACGGGACTCATTTCAAGCAACATTAAATCACATTTTTGGTGAAACACTTTTTTTTATGTATTTGTTTTTGATAAAACAACTGTCCACCACTGCATTCTATCTGCAGTAGAACGAACTAATTCATTTCACAACTGCAACTAAGTATGACGATTTTTGTCGGGAATAATTTACATAGCTGGCAAGACTCTTGCGTGACTACAAAACTCTGTTTCCGCTATTAAATGATCCAACGGAACTACCGTACCGAATGCGAACTTATTAAAAGAAAATTTCTCTGCGAACGAAGACGCGAAACGTAGTTACTTTGGGTCCGGGAAATTCACGGATAGTTGGCACCGAGGACTCTCCAAGATGCAAAATGTAATTGCTCCCGAACTAAGTTCAACAACTGTGTTTAATATTGGGTAAGAATAAAGCTGAGACTGGAAGTTTGTGATTTCTATCAGTCCAGGTTGTTAGCCCTATAGCTTATATTCGATTAAAAAGTAATGACTAATTGATTCTCAAATGCAATTAAATAGCAAATTACGGCCTCTTTTAAAATCGGATATTTGAGGGGCGACACAGCCAATTACGCTACTTCCTGTTTATTTTCATTGCGCAAATGCGGAGATACTTTGAAGAATTAAATTATCGCCGAACCAAACTACGATGTTCATTGCTATGCAATTACCACTAAACATGAAACCTCCGTACCAACCAATGGTTTTCTGGCCCAAATATACTATTATCCTAGATTCCTCCAAATCCATATATAGTGGATTTTGTGTAATGTGCAGATGGATATTCATAAATGCTATGTTACAATCAATTCAATCAGTTTCTTAGAGAAGATATACTTTAAAACAATGTCTTAAGGTGATATGAAAGAGTCAGCCTATATACATATATCTGAGAAGTCAAATCGTTTATGAAAGTATTATGGATGTACCGATTGGTTTCAAATTGTACCACGGAAATACGGAGATCCTAAAGTAGGTCCTGAAACTCATGCAATTTCATTTTTCATAAAAAAATTATTTCTTTATCACGAACTAGAACCAACATGGCGTGGTCCGTACACGTTTCCAATATTTTACGCTCTTTGGAGGCTTATTATCCAGAAGAGTTTCAGGACCTAGCTCGAACCATTTAGAATATCGTAGAAATGGAATATTACAGGGTCAGATGGAAAAATATGGAAAATACGTTTACCGACGATTGCAAGAGAATGCTGGCTTGTCCCGGGGCTAACACGTGCTTCTAGAGCAAAGATTTAGTAGCAGCTAAACGTCACAGATGGCGACGTTAGTCCTAAACAGTAGTTAGAATACGGAATTCGCGGGATTTCGACAGTTTTATATCGATTTCTTCATCATTACTTTACCGAAATGACATATAGAACGCTGCACACAATCGTCGTACAATTCTCAACGTAGACTGTAAAAGACTTCAACATAAATATAAATGTCGGTAACAGGACGCGCCAGCTTATATTACCACTTGAGTATTCAAAATGGAGTTACCACCAAAAAGAGTATGGACGAATTTTAATTTATCGACCTCGATTAAATATCTCGGCGTCTTTTATACCATCTTAACGACGGGATGTACCTTTTACTTGAAAATGTCACCTTACATATCGAACACTGTTAGAATTTTTGTACTTCTGTTTATACAAATTCGTTTGATACGGACCTCCACTACATGAGAATCTATTGTATTAACCTTAGAAAACACTGGGAGACTAATTTCCCTGAGAAACGCGCAACTCATTTAAGCTCGCATATGCCGCAGCAAATTATGCTAGTTGTTAATTTTCATCGCACAAACACAGGGATAGTTTGAAGAATGGAATTGTTGTCGAAGTTAACCAAAGTACGACGTTAATTATTATGCAGGAGTAACCTTGGGACTGGAAGCTCGAGATTCCTGCTGGTCCGCCCCGGTGGCTCTTCAACAGAGCATCGAGCTCGTTCGAGATGCGATTACTCCAGCCCTCACCCAATCGCGACTTCCGATTAACGTCGGTGCCACCACTTGCCTCGTTGATCCATCGCAGGTACCTACAATTTTTCTTTTCGCTCTTTTTACGTGGTCAGGTTCATTATTTTCCCGAGACGATCCACGATTCACTGCTTCAACGACAACGCTCCAACGAGAAAAAAAAAATTGACCGTTCTACAAAATTGAGGAGGGATGCCTGATTATAAAACAACGATACCGTCCACTCGAATAAATTGGGCAGTTTACAATTATCCTTAAATAAAAAATTTATTTCCACTGTAATCTGCTTCTACAACAGTGCTCCAACGAGAAAACGAATTTGACCGTTCCACAAGATTGTTGAGGGATGCCATATTATAAGACAACGATACCGTCCACTCAAATAAATTGGGCAGTTTACAATTATCCTTAAATAAACAATTTATTTCCACTGAAATCTGTCAATTCACGGCAAAATTTCCTCGCAAGAATGAACATTATTTTATTTTCAGGTCTTTCAGATGTATTTTCAGGTTTTATCCTCAGGATAATTTCTCAAACAGACTTTCTTTTAGATTCTTGCAAGGAAATTTCTGTTGCAAACCAATCTTCTAATACTTGAATAATCAAATCAGAGTTATTTCGCGTGTGTTTTGATTATTCCTGTTCTTTTAGACTGAAAGTCCGATGATCAAGGCTCCTCTCGTCGGTGTCATCGGTCCTGGTTCAAGTTCCGTTACGCTTCAAGTACAAAACTTGCTTCAGCTGTTTTCCATTCCACAGGTAATATGTTACGATCACGAGTGCCTTAACAACGCGATCGTTAAATGCGTTCTGCTTCTCGTCTCAATGCCCGACACGTGTGGCATTCTGTGATGCTAAAGTACAAAAAAGTGCCGAGTACACAAATATGTCCCAAGTAACGTAGCGGAGTATCTTAAAAAAGGTCCCGGAGAGAGAGAGTAATGGAACTGAAATGGCATGCTAAAATGTAAAATGTAAAATTCCAGATAGGATATTCTTCCACGTCGAGAGATCTAAGCGACAAGACCAGATACTCCACATTTCTTCGAGTAGTGCCATCAGATTATTACCAGGCGCAGCTGTTGGTCGATATTGTGAGGTACTTCAATTGGACCTACGTCTCGATCGTGAATACCGGTGGTAAGTGAAATTAATCGTCAAAACGGCCTTAAATAATGTACCTGAGAATTCCAGAAAATTTGCACAATTCTAATCTTCAAATTGCCCCATCACCGATATATAAAATTATTTGCAAAGCTCCATTCTTTGTTCAGAATCGTAACTTCTCCAATGTAAAATCGCATCTGCATCATTAGAGTGGTTAACCGAAATCGTTAATGGTGAAACAAATGTAAACAGTCTTGAGGGGATTTGAAAGTGGCATCCGAAAGGTTAATCGTTCATGAAACTTTTCTCCGAATTGAATGTACCAAATCGTTTCAACCTTCATAACGTGAATATAAAGGCTATAAGGAAAGTCCTGACACTCATGAAATTTCATTTTTCGCAAAACAATGTAAAGAATAGCTATGAACAAATTTAAAAAATATTGAAATTTCATGAAAGTCAGAACCTTCCTTATACTCTCCATATTTAGATTGTAAAGTTAGAAACGATTCGTTACACCCAGTTCGGAAAAAGTTTCATAAACGAGACTTATTTGACGCCACTTTCACATCACCTTAAGACCAAGATCCAACAATAAACATGGGTTGAAAGTTATTTTATAAATGCATCCCAATTGTCAAAATCGACATTAAATATCTCACCTATGCGTTATTGAAATAAATAGTTAAATAATTCTTTGGAATTGTAGTAATGTTTGCTGAATGAGATTTCTAATACTACATGTATCTGTCAGACATTCTCTTTAATTAATACAATTATTAATAATATAAGAAATGTTTGGAATTCTGCTTTCTCTACTTTATCACACAAGCTTATTAATACTTTAACTGACAGCTTCGAAGTTCTGGTAATCGTTGTTATGATTTACTTCGTTTATTTTCCTTGCAACGAGTGCACACAAATACCACATCGATCGGCCGATAACTTTCTTTCGTGTAACCGCCTTAGAGATTTTCTATACTTTACCCTAGATGCCGAAAAGTATCCGGTGGTAATTTGGAACGTCACGTCGCAAAGTAACATATGGTTATCTCACTTTTATACGAGCACATATTCTTGGGTACATAACTTGGGCATACATTGGTAATGTTTGATTTGCCCCGTAAATAGACCACTTAAAAAACTTATTTGGACAGTGGAAAGCCGTCCGATGTTTACAATTATTTTCACCCCAATGTACAAATAAACTCAACGACCAAAAGCGTTTAAACTGGGGTAATCGAAGAAAATAATAAAAGCAAGGAATACACATGAACTTCTAAATAACCAAATGCTAGTGAAAACCTGCAGTTAAAAGAAAAACGAGTTCTCATTTTATTTATTTGTGAGATTCTGCACGCATTGTACAGACATAAAAGTAATGAATTAGTAATTAAATGCAGTAGACGAAAATAAAATGCAAGGCGAAAGTAATTTCGGCTTCAGGCGAGAAAAGAAAGCTAACGGAAACAGTTTTGTAGAAAATTGAATTCCCTACAAAAAAGGTTGTATGTTGGTCACTCGTATGTTTCTTCGAAAAAATTGACATAATCGTTGTGTCAATGGATATTTTTAACTAAATCCATCATATCTAAAAAGCTATGCGAGATACGTTGAAAGTGCATATCATCTTTCTTGTAGGGAATTACATTTTCTATCGAAAAGATTATATGAAATTTTATTGTATCTCGCACAGTTTCGAGATATTTTAAAAAACTAAAATATCTGAAATCAAAGGAAACGATTAATGACTCCCAAACCAATTGAGATATCAACTTTTCTTTTGAGATTATGTTTCATATCATAGCCAAACATCATCAAGTGTCAAACCTTGGCGCCACGGAAACTGTAGTATCCCCAAAAATCACCACTAAAATGCTTGAAAATTTAACTCTCTATGAACCTGTTAAACCGGAAGCGCGTCCAAGGATTCTCCACGAGTGACTGAAAATTCAGGACGAATTAAGGTGAAGTGAAACACGTTGAGGAACTTGATCGACGTCGATAAAGAAGATTTTTCTAAATGCCTACGTTGTCGACGTTCGTTTTTATACTGACAGCTAGGTCGAATTATATTGGGTATTGTACTAAATGGCATACGCCACCTGTCATTTTCGTACAATAATTATAAAGAAATCGAAGTAAAACTCCAGAAATCCTCTGGATTTATGCTTTCTGGGGCCCTAATTGATTGCAGAGTGACCCCTTGCGACATCTGTGATTTCCAGGTCAATTAAATGTTTTCTCCGAGACCTCGTATTCCCATCGTTTTAGCATAGAAGCGCATAAAACACTTTTTTTGCCTTTATCACGTTCAAATGCGAGTTTATCGATTACCAGAGTGTTCTAAATTGTCGTAAAATTGTCCTGACCCTGTCGTTTCTCATATTAGAGCCTTCGATAATTGTATATTGATCGAAATATGAGAGCTCGACGCCATATTGTTTCTGGTCTGGGCTAAGTTAACAAAAATTTGTTTAAAAAATCGGAATTTCGGTAGTGTCAGGATAATTCCTAGGTGCTCACGAGTCATTTGTCAAAGTTTCAGACAGTTATATCCAATATTCTTAAAAACAAGTGTCTCATTCGAATCAACTGATTTGAAGGGGGTTTCACTTCACCTTAAGTAAGGACCCTCGCCGTGCCTCGCCTCGTTTTCGATCGAGAAATATCCGAACAGCGAACGGCTTCGCGCTCTGTAACAAATACAGAAACAGATACAGATAAACAGATAAAGGGTGGAAAGGTGAGGCACGACAAAGAAACAAGACTTAACTCCAAACACTATCACATTTTGTACTTACCCCACCCATATTCTTCACTGTGACGCTTTTTCGTGTTGCGAATTAAGCTTACCCACTGCCAAAAGAAGTTTCACTTCAATAAATTATGAAGACCTTTTATAGGATTAGCAAGAACATTTATTTGAAATACTCTGCTTAGCCTTAACACAGGGCACACTTCTTTATAAAAATGCAAAAATAAAGTAAAATGGACCCTCTTCCGTTTTCCAATGTAGATGTGGTAAAGAGTACCTAACACGAGATGTTTTTAATTGGAAACATGAAAAGCGGTCCTTTTACCGTTTGTAAAGCCCCCTCGTGCTAATGCAAGTGTGCTAATTCGACCGTGAAAAACTTTCCTCGACTCAAAATGTGAGGCGTGTCCTTTAGAAAGATATGTAAAGAGAATTTTTGTTCCTCATTTTCGGCTGGAAGAGAATTATGGTCAGAGTGGAATCCAGGCATTTCGGGAGCTGGCGGAGAAGAGCGGAGTTTGCGTAGCAAGAGAAGATGCCGTTCTTTCGACTGCCGAGGACTCTATGTTCGATGGAGTCATCCTCAATCTGGATCAAGATCAAGCAGCGAAGGTGGTCGTCTGCTTCTGCGAGGGAATGACTATGAGAGGACTGTTAGCTGCCTCCAAAAGACTGAATTTAACCGGCCGCTTCATGTTCATCGGCAGGTGAGGTCAAAGGCAACTATCAAAATCGAATATAACGTAACCACAGAGATGAGCGGGGAGATATTTCACGCCATTACCGAAAGGGAAGCACGGCTCCCTAGCACCATGGAACTGCTTTCAAAGGGGCGAAATGTTCTCTATCGGCAAAGAAAAACACGGCTGCAGATTTCAAACATAGTACAGTATCGATAGAATGAAGTTATCGCCTCTTCGTTTTAAGTATCAGGGTCAACGTAAGTTGGGAAAGAAGACTACGAATACCAAATAAAGTTCTTAAGCGTGGATGATTGAGATTACGACACGGCACCCACGTATATCCTGTTTTACCGATGACGACGATTTCGCCCCTTTGAAAGTAGTTCCAATTTTTACAGAGTTGTAAAGGGCATAGAGGGCGCCAAGGGGCCGTACCTCCCTTTCAAACAATGGTGTGAAACATCTCCCCGCTCATCTCTGGTAACCATTAGATAATTAGGTGTTCCTCACGTGAAAATGTCCAGGGTGAGTATCCAGAAATGATTGATCATTCGATTCTTACATTTTTTTTTATGATTCCAAAATTGAATTCCAATTATCCAGGCCCGAATTCGAATGATTGTCTGGTCTTGGTTAACGCCCGAGTCAATACGCCCGATAAAGGTCAAGTGACAGATCGAAAGCCGTTAACGCCGAGATACAAGAAAGGAACATCCTTAAACTATACGAGGGTACTTAAGTAATAATAATCCTTAGATAATCCTTTTCTTAGATGATACTCGAGCGGAGTTCCCCGAGGAGGATGTAGGTCGGGGTTATCTCAAGAGTCGATTTCCTTATCCTGCGACTCGATCGTTTCGTTTTCGCCCTGGCGAGGGAGTTAACATTAGAAATCGACGGGCGATGCTTGTGATCGCGAAAGTAAAGTCGAGAGGAAAGTCGGGCCTGCTCGAACGAACGGAAGTTAATTACGGTCCGGAAGTCTACCGGCAGCACCGCTGGGTAAGGACTGCTTTACTCGATTATAGAACTACGTAATTACGCTGGGGTTTATGGTTATAAATGTCTCGCTACAACTTGCCCGAAGATCGCTGGAACAAGGACGATTAATCGTTCGATTCGCATGAAGGATAACTGTCTTTTGTAATCGTTGTTACACTTTAACCCCTTCTGCCCACGAGTCGTAAAAGTGACAAATTTGTAATCGTCCAACACGCGAAACCACCGTTTCTGCGAAGGAAAGTTCCATCATCGACTCTTTAATGAAATCTTTCCTTTCAATCGATTTCAACAAGTCTGGGTTATTAAATGAGTTATCAATTCCTTATTACTATCAAGAGACGCGGTAGGGACTCGAGCAAGTTCATAACTCAACTGAGCGTAACGTCTCTTTACTCTAACCATCGCTCTAACGGGCATTTAGTTTCCTTCGGACACCCACTACTACCAGAAGAAGACTCCAAAAGTTCTTTAACATGCACGAATAGCTTTACAAATTCTTTTCTTTATCTCGTATCTCTCTAGCCATCAAAGTTCAAGCTCCCAGAAATGCATAATTTGGAATTTTCTATAAAATGTGAGCAACGTGTCGAAAAATGACGTGAAACGATCAAGCGGCGATATCGACGACTTCCATCGGAAGGTACATGAATATATAATTAGGGTTGTTTCGGTTGAAGATGAATAAATATCCGATAATGGCGGATGTTATGCGAAGTTAAAAGGATATGAAAGATTGAGCCTATATATATCTTAGAAGTCAAATCATTGGGGAAAGTATTCTGCGAATTGGGTGTACCGATTCTTTTCAAATTTTACCATAGGAATATGGAGACTCTAAAGTAGGCCCTGAAACTCATACAATTTAATTTTTCATACAAAATTAGTTTATTTATTACGAACTAGAACCAACATGGCGTGGTCTGTGCACGTTTTCGATGTTTTACGCTTCTTTAAGGCGTAGAATTGAAAATGAAGAGTTTCAGAACCTAGCTCGAACAATTTAGAATACCATAGAAATGGAATATTACAGAGTCAGATGGGAAATTATAGAAAATACATTCACCAACGTTTGCAAGAGAATACTGGCTTGTCTCGGGGCTAACACGTGTTTTCAGAGCAAAAATTTAATTGCAGCTAAACGTCACAGATACGTCACGTTGGTCCTACACAGTCGTCAGAATAATGAATTCACGGGATTTTGACAGTTTTACCTCGATCTCTTTGTCATTACTTTACCAGAATGACATATGGAACGCTTCAGTTCGTATAATTCTCAACGTAGACTGTAAAAGACTTTAACATAAATATAAACGTCGGTAACGCGACGCGCCAATTTATGTTCCCACTTGAGTATTCAAAATGACGTTACCACCAAAAAGGGTATAGATGAAATTTAATTTATCGACCTCGATTAAACTTCTCAGCGCCTTTCATATCACCTTAAGTGGATACGATCGATGGTGGAACGTCGGACTGACCGCGCCAATATGTCCCCTTAAAGTTCCGAGGGATTCTCGAGGATTTTATCGAGTTTCGGGCGCTTGAATGGGTGGCCAAACTCTTCTCGGAAAGTTTATAAATTGAAACGTGACTCTGGGCCATGCAAGTTTTCTCTTCGGTGGCCGACCGTCGAGCTTTTAATGCGCGATCGTTTCGAGGCGCTTTTCATTTAACCGCGGAGTATATGCCGCGGTGAAAAGCAAACCCACGGCGCATTCGAATGAATAGGGAATACGTTAAGCTTCGTGAATCGGGTAGGTGTACGAGTTCCTCCTCGCAGACCCTGAAAAACGATACTTCTCAAGGCAGCTGACTTTCAGAATGCCAGCCTTTATGCATTCATTTCGTATTTGAACACCCGGACATGTTTCTCCCCCGAACTTGTCTAATTCCTATCACCCGCGCGTTTATTCAATAACGACACGAGACAGAAACTCGAACATTCATGTACTTCCCATTGTTTCTTCTTTCCAAGGAGTCAGTCGTTATTACCCTAGTAGCATAGAATAATTTCTAAATATTTCTTTGTAATCTTTGCTAAATATCTCAAGCGACAGATTTTTTAAGATTTCATGTAGATTTCATTCGAAGATATTTGAAATATTTGTTGAAAATCTCAATGACATCTTTAGTTTCAAGAATTTGTAAACATATATAGAAATCATATTTTTTTAACCTATGAACATAATAAAAATACATTTTTTTACTTCGCGACTATTATCGGGTACTTCATTTGGTATTAAAGAAACACGAGAGATTTTTGTAATATTTTCGTTCCACTATTTCATTATGGGAGCAAAACGTGTGATTTTGATTTTAAATATTTTTAAAACGTTTATAATGTATTCGGAAGATAATATTTAAAAAATACTCCAAGACGCGGTAAAGGGTGGAACCTACAAATTTGCCACGTTCAAGTGAGTTAACCAATCGGCATTGGAGGAATCCCTCCTATACATTTTTTGGCGATTTTTTTTCCGGAGAAAACTCAAGTATTTTCAGAATTTACAACATTACTCCTCCCACACGATTCTCTGATCTGAGAATCTCAATTTTGTTAGACTTTCACTCTGCAGGGGACGCATGCGGACGCTACCTTCGAGAACATTGCGATCCTCGAAGAGTGCCACTTGGTTCGCTAATTTCAACCAGTCACCTTCGTTGAAAATGCTCAACAAGAGAACGTCGCATACAGATTTAAAAAAAAAATCAGCCGACCATAAGAGCAGCTTCGCTCAGGTTACGTTAGTACAAAAAAAAAACCGTACAAAATTGAGTTGGTGTGCGGTCGTCGCGTTACCGTCCTCTTCGGGAATTTAATTGCAAATCGCAAGGTCCCAGATTTACGTCTTGAGGATAACAACGATCGCTCACGTTGACGACGCAACGGAACGGACAGATTCGGCCATTGGTACAGTTACCTTAAACCTTCTTCACGCCATATTTTCATTTGGTTCTCCTTTGAACATGAACTCGTCTCAAGACACATCCCACCTATTCTTGAATTCAGGATCATTATTGGCGCAATTTAAAATTGAATAGTTCTTCATTATTTTAGATATTACTTCCATAAAGTAGCTGGAAAAAATATTTATATTGAAATATTTAATTATCAGCTGATGTTTCATTTCGCAGCGACGGTTGGGCCGACCGCGACGACGTCGTCGAAAAGCTGGAAGGCGAAGCCTGGGGAAGCCTTTCGATTCGCATTCATTCGCCTTACGTTACCGAATTCGACGACCACTACTTCTCTCTGAATCCTTTCAACAACCCTCGGAACCCCTGGTTTCCAGAATTTTGGCAGCACAAGTTCAACTGCGTGCTTCCTCAGACTTCCGGCGAAGAAGAGAGCCCGTCGACGAACAAGGCGAAACTTCCTTCCACAACTACGGTTTGTACGGGTAAATGGAAACGCTTTAATCCTGAAACAATTAACGCACGGTACAATAAGAATACATAGGTATTGTTAGCGGGGCAATTCATGACAGAGGATGCTTTTAACTAAATCAGGACCATCGCTTTACAGTCACTTGGAGTATAATGAATTATGCAAGGTGTTCGCCGTAAACATCTCCACTACTTTCGAGTTGTTTCCGATAACGAATTTAAAAAAAAAAGAAATGTAGTGAGGTAGTTTATTTTCCTATAAATTGATCATAGTATAAACTCCAAAATAATCCATTTCTCTTAAAAAAAGAAATCACGATATATGATTCACTTTTCTGATGGAATACGTTCCTTGCCTAAATAAATTCGATAATATTACAAAATTTAATAACATCATATTTTTTGAAGACATATACAGCAGTTACCTGTAAATCGATCGGCGGGGTAATTATATAAAGGATGCAGGTGCTTTTACTAATTAGATGGATCTGAAAAGAGACCCAATTCCCGCTTGCGTGTAGGTAATTATATATCGATAGTACAGGTCTCATTAGATTGCTCTTGATTCCTTTTCCATATTCTTTGACATCTCAAATGAGTAGGAAGTCTTTCATTCGTTGTATTTTTTCTTTTTATTTGAATAAACGTACAGGAGAAGAGGTTTAAAGTTCATATACTAAGCTACATGGTGCAGACAAATGAGAAATAGCTGTACAAATGTACATCTTTCCTGATAAAATTCACGACCACCGCAATGCCTTTAGTACCTTGAAATATTTCTTTCTCTAAATTTTTTGGACAATTTTACAAAATAATTATCGAGAACAATGTATTTCTGCCTCGGATAAAGCTCGGTCAGTAAACAGCGTGTTACAGAACAGAACAACTACAACCCAGAACAAAACCTAAATGGCGTCAAGCTCTCATATTTCGATCAATATACAATTATCGAAGGCTCTGATATGAGAAACGAAAGGGTCAGGACAATTTTACGACAATTTAGAACACTCTGGTAATCGATAAACTCGCATTTGAACGGGTTAAAGGCAAAAAAGTGTTGTATACGCTTCTATGCTAAAACGATGGCAATAAGAGATCTCGGAGTGAAAATTTAATTGACACGGAAATCACAGATGGCGCAGAGTATCCCTCTGCAGTCAATTAGGGCCTCAGAAACCATGAATCTAGGGTATTTCTAGAGTTTTCTCTTCGATTTCATTATAATTGTTGTACGAAAACGACAGATAGTGTATGCGATTTAGTACCATACTCAACATAATTCGGCACAGCTGTCGATATAAAAACGAATGTCGGCAACATCGGTATTTAGAAAAATCTTTTTTATCGACGTCAATCAAGTTCCTCGACGTGTTTCACTTCACCTTAACACAGAATATGCCTAACAATATGCAGGTACGGAGAAGTTGTCGGAGCGCTACAAGCAGGACCCGAAGATGAGTTTCGTAATGAAATCATTCTGGGCGATGGCTCACGGTTTGCACAGCATGCTCGAGGAAATTTGTGGCCGCAATTATTATGGAGTCTGCGAGGAAGTGCACCCTTTCAACGGGACCCTCTTCAAGGTGAGGATATACCTCAAAATGCAAATCAATCGGTTATATGAAATGCACTCAACGGGTGTCGCTTCGTAAATATGTAAAATAATTGAATTTGACTGCTCCTTGTAGAACCACTTAATGAATATCAGCTTCACCTTCGGCGAAGAGGAAGTGGAATTCGACCGACGAGGAGATCCTCCAGGCAGGTCGGTGCGTACGAGGCTTTCCAAATTCTTTTTATCTGCATGTCACATTGTCTTAAAACAAGAATAAAAACAAAAATGAGGAAGTAAATGAGTACTTCATATTACACGATGTCACTGATAAGAAAACTTTTATGAGATACAGCTATTTATTTATGCATTTGTACTTTTACATTTCTCTTTATTCTATCGCCCAAAGGGGTACGTCAGTTGTTGCGGCGTTTAATATTCAATCTTTAAGAATTATTTGCACTCCATTTCCACAGGTATGAAATCCTGAACTTTCAGCTGCTACCAAATGGAACATATGGATACGTACAAATCGGGGATTGGAATAATGGTACTTTAGTATTTTCTGCGCATCCTCAGCCACGAGGAACCGAGCTAATTGAGAGTGTTTGCTCGAAGCCGTGTCCCCCGGGGCATCATAAAGTAAGTTTTTAAGGTGAAATGAAAGAGTCAGCCTATACATATATCTGAGATGTCAAATGTTTGGGGAAAGTATTCTTCGAATTGAATGTACCGAATCGTTTCAAATTTTACTACGGGAATATGGAGGCCCTAAAGTAGGTCCTGAAACTCATGAAATTTTATTTTCCATCAAACATTGATTTATTTATCATGGACTAGAATCAACATGACGTGGTCCCGGCATGTTTTCGATGTTTTACGCTTCTTGAAGGCTTAGAATCTAAAATGAAGAGTTTCAGGACCTAGCTCGAACCATTTAGAATACCGTTGAAATAGAATATTACAGAGTCAGATGGGAAATTATGGAAAATACTTTCACCAACGATTGCAAGAGAATACTAGCTTGTCCCGGGGCTAACGCGTCTTTTTAGAGCAAAAATTTAGTTGCCGCTAAACGTCACAGATGGTGACGTTGGTTCGTCAAAATATAAACAGGCGTGAATTCACGGGATTTCAACAATTTTACATCGATCTTTGTATCGTTACTTTACTGAAATGACATATGGAACGCTTCAGTTTGGATAATCCTCGACGTACACTGTACAACATTTGAAGAAAAATATAAATGTCGGTAACGGGACGCGTCAGCTTATGTTACCACTCGAGTGTTTAAAATGGCATTACCACCAAAAAGGGTATAGATGAATTTCATTTTATCGACGTCGATTAAATTTTTCAGAGCCTTTCATATCGTCTTAATTAATTCGTTGTAATCGTATTGGTATAAATATTCGCCAAATCTCCGGGAAAACTTGTGAGCTAAGAAAAGATAAGGTAAAATATGCCGCAGAATGATTTTCTATTTCTGCAGAACTTCAAAACTGGGGGCCAAGAGAAGAGATGTTGTTGGGCTTGCGTGCCCTGTGCCCATCATCAGTACACGGATGAGAACCAATTCGAATGCATCTCTTGCCCTCTCGGACAGTGGCCCAACGAGGATAAGACAGGTGACGTCTGCTATCTAGAATTCGTTTGACACGGTGTAGCTTTTAGAAAATTAATTAAGCTCATGTGGCCATCATGGTAACACGACATTACTCATCGCTGTGTCGTGCGGTCAGGAGATGACCACGAACGTCGCCGCTATGGGTTTTAAATATCAAACCATTACAGGTTGTTACGTGATTCCGGTGGAGTACATTTCATGGGGCGATGCAGAAGCGGTCGTTGCAATGTCATCCAGTGCTTTCGGATTAATGGCCACTTACATCACGTGTCATATATTCGTTCGGCATAACGATACACCGGTTGTAAAGGCCAGCACTCGTGAGCTTAGTTATCTCATCCTGGCGGGAATGGCCTTGGCACATATCGCGGTGAGCCTTTTTTTTTTTCTTTCAAATTCTTTGCTTCTCCTACATGGACACTGTCGAGTCTCGCATTGTCTTGGATTTTTGCATACAAATCTAGCCTTGCACCTTGAATCGGTAGACAACGAAGTGCGAACATTGCAAGTGTAACAAAAAGTGGTCTTTTTCAGGTATTTCCCATTTTAGCAAAGCCCTCGAAAATTTCCTGTGCCCTGAGCCGACTGATGCCGGGGATCAGTTTCGCTATGATTTATGCTAGTCTGTTGACTAAAACTAACAGGATCGTAAGAATACTTGCGGGCTCGAAGAAGCGATTTCCAACGAGAAAACCGCTGTTCATGTCAGCCACCGCTCAAGTAAGATCACTTTGAAAATGTTTCATTGAAAGTTGGCTTACTACTATAAAGTGGTCGGAATTACCGAGAACGGAATTTTTAACTGATGGGAATCTATGTTTAAGGTGAAGTGAAACCCCCCTCAAATCAGTCGATTCAAATGAGACACTTGTTTTTAAGGATATTGGATAGAACTGTCTGAAACTTGGTCGCATGACTCGTGAGCACCTAGGAATTATCCTGACACTACCGAAATTCCGATTTTTTAAACAAACTTTTGTTAACTTAGCCCAGACTAGAAATATGGCGTCGAGATCTCATATTTCGATCAATATACAATTATCGAAGGCTCTGATATGAGAAACGAAAGGTTCAAGACAATTGTACGAAAATTTAGAACACTCTGGTAATCGAGAGTCGCATTTGAACGGGATAAAGGCAAAAAAAAGTGTCTTATGAGCTTCTATGCTAAAACGAAGGTAACACGAGATCTCAGAGAGACGATTAATTTGACACTAAAATCACATTTGGCGCACGGTGGCACTCTACATTCAATTAGGGCATCAAAAACCATGAATTCAAGGGATTTCTCGAGTTTGACTTCGATTTCTTTATAATTATTGTACGAAACGAACATGTGGAGCATGCCATTTAGTATAATGCCCAATATAATTTGATACAGCTGTCAATATAAAAACAAACGTCGGCACCGTAAGTATTTAGAAAAATCATCTTTACAAACGTCAATCAAGTTCCTCGACGTGTTTCACTTCACCTTAAGAGCCAAAAACATCTCTGAAATGTGGGTTAATGTAAATGTAAGTTAATAGTGAAAAATTATGCGATGTTCATTTATCTTATACAAAGTAAACCATCGATGTACGATGTACGTAAATGTACGTGCTCGCTCTTTTCGATCACCTTAAAATTTCGCTACATTTCATAAAAATTATAAGGCTCGAATTGAAGCAATGTCCTTATCACTTTTGATAGCGATATTATAGGATAATTTTCCCTAACATGCATCTATACTTCCCAGGTCGTAATAACGTGCATTTTAATACTCATAGAAGTCGGAATAGCGACGGGAATGATTTTGACAGAACCGCCAATGCCACGTTTAGTATTTCCAGCTCGTGACAGAGCTGTTCTTACGTGTGCCATGTCCCCAAGAGCTGTTATCACACCTCTAGCATTCGATGCTCTTCTCCTGTTCCTATGTACTTTATACGCAGTCAAGACAAGAAATGTGCCTGAAAACTTCAACGAAGCAAAATTCATTGGGTTTGCGATGTATACGACTTGCGTTATCTGGGTTGCATTCGTTCCAATTTACTTCGGCAGTGAATCAAAGGTGCGTATGTCGAGATTTACATCACCTGCTATGTGTACTAATTACATTTCAGGATGATACCTTCGAAAGGACGAAAGCGTATCCAAGCCGACTTGTTTTTGCAGCTTCTGATAGATATTACTTAAAACTGTGCATGGCATGAATTTTCGTTTTGCTGTCAAACGTGAAAATGCACCTGATAACGGGTTTCAGGTGATAACGCTGTGTATGTGCGTGACACTGAGCGCATCCGTCACTCTCATCTTCTTATTTCTTCCGAAACTTTACATCATCGTGCTGAGACCTGAACGAAACAATCGAGCTCTTTTCACTACCAGTAAATCCATTCGTTGTCATATTGGTGCAAGAGTTGCAGCAGCGATTGCCGATCCTCCGACCAAAGAAATGATCTATCGGTTTTCCCCGCCAAATAAATCGGAACGTTCAGGTAAGATGATCGAAAAAAAATTGTTAAGTAAACCTCCTTCAAACCTTCTGCAAAATCTACCAACTGAAGGGAACATGTGCTCCTTTTTTAAACATTTAAGATATGAAAGGCGCTGAAAAATTTAATCGAGGTCGTTAAATTAAAATTCATATATACCTTTTTTTGGTGGTAACGTCATTTTGACTACTCAAGTGGGAACATCAGCTGGCACGTCTCGTTGCCGACATTTATATACTTGTTTAAGTCTTTTACAGTGTGCGTTGAGAATTATATGAAATGAAGCGTTCCATATATCATTTTGGTAAAGTAATGATAAAGAGATCGACGTAAAACTGTCGAAATCCCGTGAATAAGGACCAACGTCGCCATCTGTGACATTTGGCTGCAACTAAATCTTTGCTCTAGAGACACATATTAGCCTTCAGACAAGCCCAGCATCCTCTTGCAATCGTTGGTGAAAGTATTTTCCACATTTTCCCATCAGACTCTGTAATATTCCATTTCTACGGTATTCTAAATTGTTCAAGCTAAATCTTGAAACTCTTCATTTTCGATTCTAAGCGTCTAAGAAGCGTAAAACATCGAGAACGTGCCGGGACTACGCCATGTTGGTTCTAGTCCATGATAAATAAATCAACATTTGATGAAAAATGAAATTTCGTGAGTTTCAGGACCTACTTTAGGACCTCCATATTCCCGTGGTAAAATCTGAAACGAATTGGTATACCCAATTCGGAGAATACCTTCCCCAACGATTTGACCTCTCAGATATATATAGGCTGACTCTTTCGTATCACCTTATCAAAGCTATCGACTATAATTAAATTGTATATTTACAGGATGTATCTCCAGAAATGGAATATCTAGGAGAACTCTGTCCGTACAAACGGGCGCGGAACTTCTTGTAGATCTTTATAGATCGACGATCCTAGCCGACACAATTTCGAAAGCACAGGAAACTCGACAATTTGAACATTCAAATGAATGTATGGACACGATGAAGATTGAGAAAAAGTGCAACAAGCGATTATGTAGATCAATCGATAACGTCAACAAATCCACAAACGTTTCCCGTTCTGCCAAGGAATTAAACGAGTCCAATAATAATTTGGATTTTAAGAACGAGAAGGGATCTCTTTTGAGTCTCCATTCCGTCAAAAACAACGAGTACTTGGGATTTAGAAACTATGCCTCGCAGTATTCGAACTGGGCTACACTGGATGCCAGAGCCCTTATGAATGACTTGCGACGATCGTAAGCTGATCATTTTAAATATTAAATGTCCTGAAATTATCATAAATAAATGCATTGTTCTCGCGATAGAAACATCCCTAATGGAAGTCGCTGAGAAATTTAATCGAGGTCGATAAATTAAAATTCATCTTTACCCTTTTTGATGGTAGCGTCATTTTGAATACTTAAGTGGGAACATAAGCTGGCGCGTTCCGTTACCGACATTTGTATTTATGTTGAAGTCTTTTACAGTCCACGTTGAGAATTATACGAACCGAAGGGTTCCATATGTCATTTCGGTAAAGTAATGATAAAAAGATCGATGTAAAACTGCCGAAATCCCGTGAATTCATTATTCCAACGACTGTTTAGGACTAACGGCGCTATCTGTGACGTTTTGCTGCAACTAAATTTTTGCTCTAAAGACACGTGTTAGCCCCGAGACAAGCCAGCGTTCTGTTGCAATCGTTAGTGATAGTATTTTCCATATTATCCCACCTGTCTCTGTTATATTCCATTTCTATGGTATTCTAAATTGTTCGAGCTAAGTCCTGGAACTCTTCGTTTTCAATTCTACGCCTTAAAGGAGCGTAAAACATCGAAAACGTACACAGACCACGCCATGTTGGTTCTAGTTCGTGATAAATAAACAAATTTTGTATGAAAAATTAAATTGCATGAGTTTCAGGGCCTACTTTAGGGCTTCCATATTCCCGTGGTAAAATTTGAAACAAATCGGTACACCCAATTCGGAAAATACTTTCACCAACGATATGACCTCTCAAATATATATACAAGCTGACTCTTTCGTATCACCTTAATATTATCGAACATTTTTATATGATGCCAAAGTTCAGAAAGTTAAGTGAATGAATACTCCATAAAAACTTGTTAAGTTAAACCGCTCGGCTAATAACAATATAAAATCTTTTGCCCTTGCAGGGCATTCAGATAACATCGACTTAATATAACCATGACCGGAACTTAAAGAGTAAAGTGATAATTCCCACAACTTTCTGAACTTCAGCACTGCGTTCGAAAGTTTTTAACATGCGATACGGTGCGAAACTTCATCTCATAAGGTTAATAATGAGTTGGAAGGATTTGAGAACACGACCTGTGAATTTTACCAGCAGAACTTGCGCCGTTATGCCGAAAAGATATAGCTAAACCGTTCGAATTAATATTCTCTTTTTTAGCAGCTCCTTGGGATCCGAAAGCATCGATCTAAAAGCCTTACCAAACTCTCGCGTAGAAGAGAACAACTCGCCGTCTGAAAGAGGAGAAAACGATAAAGTGACAGCAGTGATTATCAGAAAAGAAGAAGAGGAAGGTATGAGAGACCTGACCGTCAGGATCCTCGAGGAAAGCGAATTTCCGTCCAATGATGTTCTCAAGATCACGATCACTCTTGACTCGGAGGTACCGAGCTCCTATGTACAGCCCAATGGTTGACTGAAACATCGTTAATTCAACCATAGCCACCAACTGACCAAAACGTTATTATTAGACAGCTAGAACAGAATTATATGCCGCGTATGACCCACATTCGTCGCCCAATTCTAGATCCTAAGATGATTTCATTCGTATTTTTAAAAGCCCGTTAAGGTGAAGTGAAACCCCCCTCAAATCAATCGATTCGCATAAGACACTTTTTTTTAAGGGTATTGGATCGAACCGTCTGAAACTTTGACGCATAACTCGTGAGCACCTAGGAATTATCCTGACTCTTTCAAAATTTGGATTTTTGAAAACAAATTTCTTAACTTAACCCAGACCAGAATCAAAAGGGCGTCGAGCTCTCATATTTCGATCGATATCCAATGATTCAAGGCTCTAATATGAGAAACGAAAGTTTCAAGACAATTGTACGACAATTCAAAATGCTCTGGTAATCGAAAAACTCGTATTTGAACGGGATAAAGAGAAAAAAAAGTGTCTTATGCGCTGCTATGCTAAAACGATGGTAATACGAGGTCTCGAAGTGAAAATTTAGCTGACAAAGAAATCATAGATGGCGGAGGGGGTCCCTCTGCAGTCGATTAGGGCCTCAGAAACCACGAATCCAGAGGATTTCTGGAGTTTTACTTTGATTTCTTTATAATTGTACAAAAACGACAGGTGGAGTATGCCATTTAGTACAATGCCCAATATAATTCGATACAGCTGTCAATATAAAAACGAACGTCGACGACGTAGGTATTTAGAAAAATCTTCTTTACCAACGTCGATCAAATTCCTCGACGTGTTTCACTTCACCTTAAGATAAAAACGATACGACATAAAGTAACGCCTGGGGCTGAAAGGACCACTAAAGCAAATATCGGATGGCTTCGTTAAAGTCCAACGTGTAATTTTAGAGATTATTTAATGTACTGCCCTTTAACGGAGATATTTCTGTGTTTCTATCGTTTGTCATTACTTGCTGCACTACCACGTAAATTAAAAGCATTGCGTGAATGACAATATTCTACACGCGGGAATGATATGCTACCGCGAGAGTAAAAGTAGATAAATTACTTGTCCACTTTTTTTTTAGTAACAATGTCTTGTAAAGTGTAATATCCAAAACTAATCATCTTAGTTGTTACCCCACGTATGTACCTTTAGTCTACTATAAGCATATTCATAGAAAAGTCAGTAAATCGTACTTTCTCCGAATGCAAAGATAAAAATATTATCATTCTGTCAATGTTGTTTCCGGATATTGAGCTATGGAGTTGGAAAAAGGAAATGTCATGAAACTGACCAATTTTTATCGACGCCACGTTAAACGTTGGGTAAACGGAACTTTTAAATATAAATTAAATACTGTTTTAATATGTGCTGACAAGAAGCAATTTTAACAAGAGAAGCACAAAACCTTTGTAGTTTCTATCAAGTGTGTACAATCAAGATGAAAATCTATTTATAGCATATAAATTTTTCGAACATAATGCGCAGATAGCTAATCAAATTTTCAAAATAACAATGCATCTGACAGTCTACCTTCCACATAATTATAGATACACTACGTACACATCAAAATTAAATAAAATATTCTCAAAATTACAGCTCAAACTATATATATATATTTACACCTGGACGATTAGTGAAGGTCTTCAAATCCATGGGATTCGTTACAATTTGTATGAACGTAACGCATTTATTAGATCAATGTTACAATGAATACTTTTATGAATAAAAGGTAGTCGCAACAGATTAGGATCCTTTACTTCGTCAATCGTTAACAGTTTCATTGCACTAATAACTTTCTAATCGCTGCTGGTATAGGTGTTTACTCTGGGACCTCATTCAACATTTTAGCGTATACTCGTTCAAAAATGTTACCGTCATGTACACGTGACAGCGAATACCGACGGAAGGCCGTACAACGGATGCCATAATAAAATACGAAGTTTGCGAATCGAAAGGCAGCCATTTTACAGAGGACCAAAAATCAGACCTAATGGCGTCCCTTGCGTAAAATCTTCAAGCCCTGCTTCACACTGCCAGCTTCACAAAAAGCCATGATATTTTTCTGTACATATGTACACCGAAAAAGCTTCGCACGACAGAATGGTTAAACAAAAGCAAAACCCATTCAACGTTGTGCAAAAATAGAGTAATGCTCGAATATAAAGAGTACGCACAATTTACAATAAAACAGTGTTAATAAGAACTTGTTGGAATACGATTGGCACTTTCGGAGATCCCTGACATCTGATTTGTCCTCATTTCTTATCAATTTAGCGATTAATCAGTAAACTTCCTGCCGCGTCGAGCGAATTGCACCTGGTTATGTAGCTACATACAATTCATGCAAATCCTCGCAATTACAAGAGTTTTCCTCTTCTTGAATAAGTCTATTTTGTATGACAATTGTCAAGTACCTTGTAATGTGCGTACGTATGTAATAAACCACCGACTCTCAGAGGATCACTCGAATCATATGTATTTACGTGAAAGCAATCCTGTCTTTCATCGAGACTCCGTCAAGATGAAAGTATTAACGTATTAAATAAAACGGTCAATTACGAACTACTATTAATTCACGGTAATTAAATAGAAGGTTACGTTCTATTGTAAAACGTTATTTAAGACGCCGCAATCTGCGTGCACGCATATGAACGAGAACAGCACATAAGTCAAACAGCGGAGCAGAGTTATTGGCTTTCTAAAACATCACATATTTCATCGTGTAGGTGCGTATGTTGATAATCATGTGGCACTACAAATAAATTAGAATGTTACGAGCGTCCTGTACTTACGAATAATATATTTATAAAAGTAGAAAATATAGGTCTTATTGTAAGCATTATTGATACTGACTCATGTGCTTGCTTCTCCTCATCAAAGATTTCTGTAAGTCTTCACCGACTTAATCTGACTGATTCATATGAACGGTGTTGGGAGACCACTTTGCGCGATACATTCAGACTACCGAGTACGGGTGCCTTGTATAGTTGAATCGCATTGTATCAACTGTTACAAGAATATAATCAACGGTTACCAATGTACGAAAAACACAGGAAAATATCAAAATATTAAATACCAATTGGGCTTAATATTAGCACTCGTGTCCGTTCAGAAATATTATTTAAAGGTCTCTCCTGACACTACACATATACCACTGACAAGTGTAAATACATAAATATGTATGTATATAAAAGTCTCTATTGTAAAATGTTGTACGAGTTAAGAACACATTAAAATAGCACTGGGCATCTAATAGAATGTTATTGTGTTATTTTAATGACTACTAGGGTTAATTCTCGATACTCCCTTCTTTTGTTGCATGATTTTTGAGGAAAAAATCGAATTTCAGTATATGATTGTACTTCCCTAAGTAAACATTATATAAAAATATTAAAACTCTGATTGTACCGACTCCCAATAAATTCGCTCGTCGATTTTTCTTTACAAAAATTTCTACAAATTCAGGGAGCTGTACATACGGAAAAATTTAAAAGAATGCAATTACACTTTAAAAATTCATAGACACTCGTTGTGCAATCCCTGTGAAATTTATCGAACTTGTAAAGCTCGTGCGTTTTATAAATCGTGTTCAATAGTGTTTCGTAGTTCCAGTTTTTTATGGTAATAAGTCCATCCGAAGTCAAATTCATTTTCTGAAAATAGAAAACTAATTTGACGTACTTGGAACGCAATAACTCTCTTCTGTGGCTCTAACCTTGTTTTTATATAACATGATAGTAATTTAGATCCAAAATACAAGTATGTTGCCACGTCATAAAATAATTATAAATTACTTCTCGTATTCATTACCATAAAAAATTGTCCTCTACTATACTTATTTATGCCTTACACTGTTTTTTGTAAACAAAAACAGCAAAGGCGTTATAACATACAACATTTCTTCTTATTTTTCTTGTAATTTGGTTTCAAAGGCGGCCTCTCAGACAACTGGAATTTCCGTACAATGCGTACTAATTCATGAAAAGCTTGGTCCACGTTCATTCGTAACTTGGCACTGCACTCAATGTATGGAATCCTCAATTGTCTTGCCAAATTTTGAGCTTCTTCTACCGAGACCTACAATTTACATGAATAATTTTCATTTCTATCATTCCAGCTGCTATGACATTATATTATTAGTGTTTTCCTTACAGCTCTTTGGTGATCAAGATCAGCTTTATTGCCAACCAATAACATAGGGAATTCGTCACGATCCTTTACCCTAAGAATTTGTCTGTGAAATTTAACCATTTCATCGAAAGAAGAACGATCCGTCACAGAAAACACAAGCAAAAATCCTTCCCCACTTCTCATGTATTGTTCTCGCATAGCACTAAATTCCTCTTGACCAGCAGTATCCAAGACTGTAATTGAAAATATGTCAGAGAGTTTGCACGATTGCATATTTTCCAAATGACATAATTTAATAGCAAGGTTTTACAACAGGTGCAAGATCACTTTAGGCATTAAGAAGTATGATAAATAATTGCAATCTACAAATACTTTTCATAATTTTTTATGACATTTATTCAAAGGAAATATAATTTCTTTTAAACTAAAACTATTAATATGTATAATAAATATGAAATTGGGAATTGCTATTTGGAAATGCATATAAAAAAAGGGCAATAATAGATTTTACAACGTTACAACATTACTCACTGTCAAGTTTAGCAGGTACATCGTCAATGACACACTGTTTGGTATAAGAATCTTCAATTGTAGGATCATAATCGGTAACAAAATAACTCTGAAATCCAAATATACCTGATAAACATACGTTAACACCCTCTTAAATACTGAATGTCTAAGACCCTGTGAAACGTATACAGAGACTTTTTCGGTACATCTGGCAGGGTCTGACGTGGATAAATATAGCGCTTAAGTAAACGCACCGTTCCAAATAAAAATTTGTTCTCAAAGTAGATCTACATCTTGTAGTTCCTCCTGCCTTATCTATCAAATATGGACCACAAAAATAGAAAATAAATGAGTGGCTGCTAGAATTGACTACCGCTTGAAAAAAAAAGCAGTCTTTGCTGCAATTAGAAAACATCACTCTTGCATAATGAAATAACGCAACACGTCGGTTGCTTATTCGTCGATCTCGATTGTTGCCGTACCATACCACCCACGCGATCAGCGGAAAGTAGCGTTGTGAAATTTATGACAGACGCAGACTCCGTATTTCTCAAGTGGTAGTAGTCCAACTATTTAAAGAGCTATGAAAAAGGCTTGTGTCGACATCGGGAAATGATTACGCCCCTTCATAAGACTAGTTTTAAAACCATAAAATTTCTTGATCTCTTTCGCCGAATGCCTTACCTGAATAAATTGTATTGTAATCGCAGACTTTCCTACACCTCCTCCACCTACGACGACCAGCTTGTAGGTCTGCGCGTAACTCTGCCTCTCGCAGGGTTTTGACATCTTTCGCTTCGGATTACGATGTTTCTTCTCTCATACACCCTGGTCAACCCTGGTGATATGTCACCCAATGTCAACGAACTACTGCAGAAGTCGAAAAAAGGAACAGCTCTCGGATTACCCCCGGACCGTGAAGTGATCGCGAATTGAAAATGAAAAGAGCATAGAGCTTATAGAAATAGAGATGCCAACAGCACCAGAGACAGAGATGAGTTGGGAGATTGCTCACGTGCAGGGTCGCGCGATCGCACCGTGTGCTGCCCT